GCTGACTAAAACAATTTCTCTCTCAGAGTTGGGCTTTCAGAGGGAACACATAGGACAATCAAACCCAGGAAAATGCAGAAAGTTTTTCAGATGCTACTGATAACCGATTGAGTTGAGATTCACTAATAAAATGTGCATCTATAATTTATTCAATGCTGTATCTTTGGATCAGGAAGGCATTTTCCAGAATGTTTTTCTAGAAGAAAAATATAACCTGTTTTACAACAACTTACATAGACAATTTCCAAGAACTGTGGCATAAGGAATAATATTACAAATCATGATTTATTATTAAAATTACAAATAAATCATGGTTTATTTTAAAAAATGACATAAAAGTATAAATATTCCAAAGAAAAGTGCTTATAACACAAATTTAGGCAAATCTCTATTTCTATTATTGATCTAAAGAACAGATTTCAAATGCTATAACCAACTGCAGTACATCTTTTCAAGTTTTTTTAATTTTTTTTTTACATGGAAAACTTTTATTTTGTAATTGTACTTTGTATACTTAAAAATGTTACCATTAAACACATTAATTGAAATGGAGATGGACCGATGACTTAAAGTTTTAGAATTTAGGAGGTTGGAGAGCTAGCCATTTAATGGCTCAATTAGTGACATAGAAACTTATTTGGGAGTGGATTATTCGGGAGTAAACTGAAGCCCTGGGTTCCAGACAATGGCCCCCTGGGCTTTCAATGCCAAAACCTATTATGCAAAATCCCTGTCAGGAGAAAGCCAGGATGAAGTGATTGGCATGTGCCAATCTGGATGGCGCCTCGCCTGTGATTAAGGGAGTAGAGACGGATGGAAATTGCTACCAGGCTGGTTGCTGTAATCATGCACAGGACCCAGGTGGAAGAGCAGCCTGGGGAAGTCAAACATTTAGCGTGTTCAAAAAACCATTTTTCTAAATAGTTCATAGGATGCTTTACTCAAACAGTGCCTTTTCAAGATTAAAGTCTTTTAAAGAATGCTGAAAACACTACATTGTCTATAAAAATGATCAACAGCTCCAAATTAATAAAGAGCTCAAATTAGTTTTTAAAAGATGGAATGGGATGTATAAAAAATGACAAGTTCTATTTTTTAATTAGAAGAGTAACATTCATTTTTTGACTTATAAAAGTAATACATAATAAATATAGAAATACAAAAGAAAAAGTCACAATTCCTTTATAATGACCACAACTTTTAACACTTAGGACATATTTTTTTTTCTTTTTCAAGGGTGAGGTGCTTTATTTGGGTCTTTGTTTAAAGAAATGGTTGGGGAGGGGGGGAAGGCAGGGATTGAGATGTTGGCCAAAGAGTACAAACTTATAGTTAGAAGATGAGTAAGTTTTGGAGATCTAATGCATAGCATTGTGATTAGGTAACAATACTGTATTATATACTTCAAAGTTGCCAAGACATTATATCTTAAATGTTCTCACCATGAAAAAGAAATGATAATTATGTGACATGATGGAGATGTTACCTAAGGCCACAGTGGTCAAATCAACATACTGTACACCTTAAACTTACACAATGTTAAAAGTCAATTACATCTTAAAAAAAGAATCTGTAGTGAGATAAATCTAAAAGAAGATTTATTTGAATAAAATATAACTGACAGTTAAAAAAATAAAGATATGGATATGCTTTCCTAATTTTTCTACTATTTTGGTTGACAAAGAAATGCATGGAAGTATTCCAAATGAAAGCTGGGACATCCATAAACGTTGTGGAAATATCCACATTGCGTGGAAAGCTGGACTAGATAATGTCTTTCTGGATCCTTGCAAGGCTAAGATTTTCAGATTCTTTTAAAGTATGCCAGTCACTTTAATTATATTTAAAACAATAGATTCCATGTTATAGTGTTAACTCAAGCTAAACAATAATTGCAGTATTATGATAGTTCCAAAAATACCAAAAAAAATTTCACTTGAAATTTGCTATTTAAAGGACATACCAAGGACAGAAACAAATGATGCCAAAATAGAATTCTTATTAGATCATGGTGAGATTCTTCTCAAGCTGCAGAACAGTTTCCTTAAAGGCAGAATCCTCTGCCCAATTGACTTTACTCCCCAAAATGAGATTCTGTAATACAAAATTTTTTTCAAGTTAAAGTTATAAGTACTTCAAAATATTTAACAAAATTATAAAAAATCTTCTTTACTGATCTTATCAAGTATTTACCAAACTAGGTATAAACATTTACTGTGATCATGGGGAAAAAATAGTAATACATTCTTATATCCTGATTTCCACATTCAGTAAAGCTTCATTTCAGCCGTAATCCCCATAATGCTAAGGAATATTAACAATGGTAACAATTTTTTATGCTTCAATAAGTTTTTGTGGATAGTTTTTACCCATTAAGGATACTTGCGGTGGTATCCCAGATTTAAGGAAAAAGATGCAGCTGTGGTTCAGAGTTCATTTTGTTTTTCTATGGTGAAAATCAATTTAAACATAAGTAATATGACTTATTTTTAAAAAGAAGTAAAAGAAGAACTTAGTTCTCAGCCTTTGCAATGTTTCAAGACCCTGAAAAAGGTGAAGAATATTTTTGTGGTAGACAACAGAGAAATGGTTAGGATAATTAATGAAAATTCTGGTCATTCTTTGAAAAACTATGGCTCAGAGATACCGAGTTACTAATTGAAATATGTTACAATAAATTTTAAAGTGGTATATTGTAACACAAAAAATATTTAAATCTTTGGCTTATATAAGACACATTCTTGCTATAAATGATTAAAGGGGCTAATGTGTATAAATCCAGTCAAATTCACAAAGGCAGGTAGAAGAAAGCATTCAAGCTTGACTTAACCCCTAAAGGTTGATCTTCCTTTAGGAATAAAGAGAGCTCCTAAGTTGGCCAGAGCGATTTTCTGTTTAACAAAGCAATGAGTTTATTAAATCAAAATTAACACTAATTTATAGAATATGAATAAAAAGAAATGTGGGATAATCAAAGTCTCAAAGCAGTAGAATGGAACATGTCCCAAAGAAAATTAAAAATGATTCTGTACTTATGATGCAATATTCTACGTGAGGTTAACCTAGGGGATTTGATTAATCCTAATCAAATCACTCACTGCTACTAAAAATAGGTGTAAGACCTGGGGAATTTATTATGGTGAGATAAAATACCTCATGTTCTACAAGGATATGCTTTACATGTAACAGGCATTTGCTTTACATATAATAGACAGTTTTAATTGTGGATCTTCATAATTGAAAACTGGTTAATTTAAGTATTTCAGCAGTTCCAGAGACATTTTATAATTCGAAGAGTAATTTTAAAAATCCTCCAGAAGAAAGGAACGAACACTTAAAACTGAAAGCTTGATATGATAATAACTACCAACATTTATTGAGAATTTACTTGGATCAGACACTATGCTAAACATAATTAACAAATTATTTTTTTTAGTTTTCACAACTACTCCTTCTAAACAAGGACACTGATGCTTAAAAAGTTTAATTATTTTCTCAAGGTCAGCAACTCTTCAGTAGCAGTTAGGATCTCACCTCTAGATTCTCATCATCCTCATCCACGTTTTCCCACCTCCCAACTTGGAGTCTATTACTCTCTGCCATTACACCATGCTGCCTTCATAGAGCTGCTAAAAATCATTCCTTTTATAAATGCCTAAGGTCTAACCATAATGAAAAATCAAAGCTTTTAAACATTAAATATATATGAAATCCAGATATATGTAAACAGACCAATTTTCAGTACTGAATTAATTATTTTGTCAAGATCAAAGACTAACTGTAAGTAAGACTGAAGTAATAGAACCAATCATTTAAAAAAGTTCTTTACCTCCCTTCCTAATTTATATAAATGTTACCTGGAACACATGTTGAATAACTGTAGTAATTTGTATCTCCATTTGTAGGTTTTGTTGTATGGTCTTTATCTCGCCTGACTTTTCCATGCAGTCCAAATCATCTTTCTGTTTGTTCTTTTCAGTCTGTATTTCTAAAAGCTTACTTTCTGAAGCTTGTTTTAATTCTATTAGGTTAGAAATAAAACAATACATTATATATACCAACTCCTACACATAAGAGTCTTAAAAAATTTCGAAGTAGAACAGTTCTCGGTTATTTCAATCAAGAGAATATTTTTAATAAAGAGCATTTTAGCTTGCAGTTCCATTGTGATGTGAAAATTACTTCCCTGGTGCAAAATATCAATATTTTAATTATATACTTAGCAATGCAAATGTTCAAGCTTTGTACATATGAAAATGATGGCTGTCTACAAATGTCTGAAGTGACATCATGTTAAACAGGTCTTACTCTGTGTTACCAAATAGGCAGGAGATATATGTAAGGTAAGAGTTTCCCTCCTTTATTTACAAAAATGACATAACACGAAGATAAATTTTCAGTGAAAAGTAAGATTCCCTTCTCCAGGGATAAATGTCATCAACCATTTTTTGTAGTTCCTGAAATGTTCTAAGAATTAAACTGTTTGAAAACATAAACGGGTATGTCTTAGGAGCTTGGATCCTTGACATTAATTTATCAAAAGCAGGTTGGAATGCAATGGAAAAATGACATCCAAAGGGTAATTAGATCAGATGACCAAGGCTATTTCTGACCTTGACATTACTTACAACCAGGCAAGTCTGTATATTTAAAAATAAATCATGCCTATATTGTTAAATGAAAAAAGTAGTTTATAACACAAAATAAACTGATGACAATTTTATAATAAGCACTGAAAATTGATTATTGCTTGGTGGTAAAATAAAAATTTTAACGTATGTACACTTTTGTTTCCAAATTTTCTGCAGAATATATATTACTTTTGAAATAAACATTTAAGTAATTTCAATGCAAAATGCATTTTCATGTTAAGTTAAAAAGCTATAGAACCATATGTACCAACTGATCATTTAAAAATTATGTATATCTAACTATGACTAACTGTGGTCACACAGGAAGGAGGCACGACTTTCACATTATACTTTTCTGTATCATTTGATTTTCACCCACTGAGAATGTTTTAATTTTGTGATTTAATGTTCTAAAACAACAAAAATGCATCAAGCAAAATACATTTTATATACTACTTCTTAAATTGCCAAAATTTTAAGAAAATATGAAAATTAAGAAATTTCTCAGTAGCTGAGATCTAGCTTTATCAATCTCCACAGTAAATGAAAATGTGTTCTACCCTAAAAAAAAAAAGAAAGAAAAAAGAGCTATTCTACATACCAAATCTCTTCTTTCTAACATCAAGCAGTTTTTTTTCTAAATCCCAAGATTCCTGTTATTAGAAATAAAAACATTAAGGGATATTACATAAGAACAAACCTATAATACTTAAATCACTGAATTTTATATTTTAGTTCATGTTTTCTAAAGCTCCAGTTTTTAGTTCCTTCATTTCCACACAAGAGAAGACAGTAGCTTAAATTATAAGTAGATACTTAGCTACATTAGTCAAAAATAACAAGAGTTATGAAAAAGAGAGAGAAAACTTAAAGACAGTGAATTCTAATCATACTAGTCTCTTTGGGAAATCCTATTTAATCATATACAATACAGTTACCAGCAAGAAGGTGTTACTGAAATCATAAGAATGCAGAAGCCGCCTAATGCGCAAAGTTACCTGCTGTGATTTCATTATTAATTTATTTAGCTTTAATATATGTTTCATGTTATCCATGAGCGCACTGAAAGGAATAAAAAATATGATTTGTTAACCTTAGTTAAAAGCAATAAATCTCATTAGAAGAAACCAGTTAGCATATATTACTTTCATTAAATTCACTGTACACTTCAACAGAAAGTCATCATTTAACGAAATAAATCTGGAAAAGTTTGATATAATCTAAATTCATGTTTAAAATTAGGGATGCATTTCCCTAGTAAAATTTTTGGTCACAGACAACTAAGAACATTAAGTTTAAGCATGTAAAAACATTTCTAAAGAGTTCTATTTAGAGAGAAAACACTGTAATAACTTGCTAATAAGTTGCTTAAAAAAAGAAGACTACTTTTTAGAGCAATTTTAGGTTCACGGCAAAATTGAGCAGAAAGTAAGTTCATGTACCCTCTGCCTCCATATAGGCACAGTGTCTTCCACTATCAACATCCCCCATCAGAGTGGACTGTTTGTTACAAAATGATAAACCTATATTCAAGACATTATAATACATTAGGGTTCACTCTTGTTGCTGTATATTCTATGGGTTCTGACAAATGTATAATGACATGTATCTACTACTACAGTATCATACAGAATAGTTTCACTGAATGAGTGGCTTTTTATCCCCATTTCCTCAACAAGTATTTCTGAGTGCCTACTGTATACCAAGAATCGTGCCAGGCATAAGGAATGTAAAACAATAAAATACAGTACCTGTTTTCAAAGAGGAAAGAATCTGGTGGGGGAGAAAAATCCACAACTATAGTACGGTTTCATTACAACCAGTAATGGATATGAACCACTGTAATAACTGCAGAGTGGAACAAGGGAAACCCTTGAATCTTAAAGGACATGAAGTAATTACCTAAATCAAGTAGTTTGGAATGGCTGGAGCAAAAGGGTATGAAGTAAGACTGGGCAAGAACAGTTCTCATACTACAAACTGCCACAATTCCTTAGGAGGCTTGCTAAATATAGATTGCCAGTCGTCCTTCCCACCAACCCCTACCCCTACCCCGCACCTTAGGTTTTAGATTCCGAGACCAGTAGGTTTGGGATGGAGCCAGCAACGTCGTCATTGTGATAACACCAATCATTCTGATATTGTAGAAGGAATTTATTAGGAGGCTAAAAAGTGGGAATTTTTACACAGACCTGGAAGAGCTGAATTCATTTTCTACTACCTACAGCTAACTTGGTTATAAACTTTATGCTGAACCTGTCCTACAGCACTTTAACTCAAGAGTGTTTTAAGCTTTCATGTTTATGGGGGAGCAATAGTTAGCTCAAATTCAGATTTTAGAATTTATGTAATTCTGGATTTAAATGAAATATGGAGAGAATGTGTATCAGTCTGGACAAAGATGCCAAAATGGGGGGTGGGAGGTGGTGATGCCCAGAGCCATCTTGGCACTTTGCTGCTAATGGGAGGGGATTTTTTTTTCACAAGATTTTTAGAGTTTTCAGACATAAGGCCTGAGGCCAGACATTTAGAACCAAATTATAGAGGACCTTGACTGTCAGAGTCTTTATTTTATACTATTTGGCAAATTGTTTAATGTGTACAAGCTCATTTCTGCCAATGAAAAATGAAGAGTATACTTTCTATCTCCATTGGGTTGTGGTTGGATTAAATGAGATAGGATTGTTCGTTTTTCAGTAAATAATGAACAAAAGTTAACTTTAAAATCCTTCCTTTAAAATTTTCAGACTATCTGGATAAAACCTAAATTGCTTCTTAGGGCTGTAATCTGAACAAGATGTCAGCAGGACTATAAAAGTTGTAATGCTGAGGAGGGCTCACAAAATTTCCATCACTTTCCTTATTCTCCAGTAAAAGTGGTTGGCAGCGACAGTTAAAATCATGAAACGAAAGTCATTATGTAGACCCCCTGCTAATACCCATTCTTACCAAATACAGAAAAAAAAATTCCCATACCTAGTATGGATGTTACTTTTCTCGAGGTTTTTCTTAAGTGCAGTAGAAAGTTGCATCCTATAAAAAGAAAAAAGCTTGCATTAGAAAACATGAACATTATGGTGCACTGAAAAGAAAATTTAAAAATATGACAAGTTAAAGATTGTTTTTTCTTTAAATATAACATAAAACATAAGTAGGTTTTGAAACAATATTATATGGGAAACACTTAGATAAGTAGCAGAAATATGAAATAACACAAAGATGGATGTGGCTGTTGCTGAGGCTGAGGGTCTGAGTAGGCCTGAAATCCAGCCTGACCTTTGTTCTCCAGCCACCCTGTGCCAACAGGGAGGAAGCAACAAGCATTAAGGCACAACAGAGATGAACAAGGGCTTAAAATGGAAAGAGTTAGGGAATACGATGCCGTACTTAAGTGCAAACTTTAAAATATATCTACGTACGAACAAGCTCCATAAAGCATTTTTAAATTCAAATAGCTAATAAGTAATAATAAAAAGGCAACCAACTCAGCAATATTAGAGCCATTTCTTTCTATCATACACAAAAAATTTGACTCATTGAAAGATATCTTAATAGCTCTAAAGTCACCTTAGTCAAAAAATATCATCTATATAATGAGCTAGAATTATATATGATCTATATAATGAGGGAAAAAGCTCATAGCTAGAAGCAATTAAAAGCACTTTAACTGCTTTTCAATTAAATGTATGAAGAAATTCATCCGGGAAGGCCAGAAATCACATTTGTCTTACAAGCAGCTATATACTAACACCTAGCATAAAGCTTAGGAAGTAGCAAGCACTCAAATATTTGTTCAATGACTTTTAAAATCCAGATGTAAAACTTGTAATTAAAAATATACATTATTCAAACTGAACAACAATTCTTTTACTCAATTAACAGTTACTGGAATAAATGAATACACGTAATTCCAAACAATGAATGGGATTTAACCTCACAATAACATTGTTTTGATTAACATTTCCTTATTAACCCTATCTTATGTAATTTCTTCAAATGAAGATATTAATGAATAATGTAACTTTTCTCTCAAGGCTCAAAATTTGTGCCCATTGTCTAATCATCATTTCAGTTGATTCATTTAGACTAAAATATTTTCTTCACCTCAAGTCATACCCATTTTGTACTCAGTTCATAATGCTTATACCTAAAATGTAATAATTACCTGTCTAATGCAAGCTTTTTCATTTCTGAAGCAATTTTAACCTCTTCAATTTCATTTTCTAGGTCTTCAATTTTACTATAAAAGAAGTGTAAACAAAAGAATTTCAGCAATATCAGAAAAAGTCGCTATTGGAATAAATTTGTAAAGTAAACCTTTGAAAAAAGTAAAATGTTTCTAACTAAATAAAAATATTCTACACGCTGACCACGCCAATGCATTTACAGATTTGGTAAACTGATGCCTCCTGAGATACCCTCGTAAGTATCTTATAAAAGGGGGGATGTCAAAAGTGCTAATATGGCCACTCATGTACATTTAAGTCTACATCCCATATCACCAAGTTCTCAATACATCTGTGACAAATTACTTGGAAACAAAAAGGAGGAAAAAAAGACAATATTATAAGATGACTATTATTAAATCTTAGTAAAAACCACAAATAAAATTTAAAAATATGACATACGTTTCAATTTGTTTTTCTGGAATGATTTCTTCTGGAGTTTTTTCTTCATCTACAAATAAATAAATTTTTTGAAGTTAGCAATATTTTAGAACAGTGCAGTCCAACAAAAATATAATATAAACTACAAATATAAACCAAATATGTAATTTTTAATATAGCTTATTTAATCCAATAGATTCAAAATAGTACCATTTCAACATGTAATCAATTTAAAATTACTAATGAAATATTTCACAATCTTTTTTTCTGTGCATATTTTACATTTACAGCCCTTCTAAATGAGGACTAACTACACTGCAAGTGTTTGACAGTTCCATGGAGCCAGTGGCTACCATATTGGTAGAACAGTTTTAGAATGATAGAAAATAAAAAGGAGTAAAAAAATGAATAAGATCAATATTAAAAAAAAAAATGTATGTCTAAATGAGTAACAAATTATTGGAAATTAAAAATTTTAAGAACCATGTACAATTGCATTCAAAAAGAAGAATTACTTAAGGATAAACTTAACAGAATATATGTATGACTTCCACACTGAACACTATCAAATACTGAAATGGAAAGATATACCATGTACATGTATTGAGAGAAGCAATATTGAAGCAACAATTTCCCTCATACTTATCTAAAAATCCTAAAAATCCCAGTCAAAATTCTATCGGCCCTTTTTTCCCCTGAAGAACAATATTCTACAGAGGGAAAAAAAAAAAAAAAACACCTGATTTAAAAATGCACATAGAAAGGCAAAGGCCCTAGAACAGTCAAAACGACATTTACCATGGAGAATAAAGTTGGAGGTACAGCAGCTGATAAAAAGATTTACTATAAAGCTACAGTAATCAAGATAGTGTGGTACTATTGTAAGCATAGTTGAGGGAACACGGGAAAAAGCCCAGAAATAGACCACACATATACAATGGAGAAAGTCTTTTCAACAAATAGTACTAGAAAAATTGGATTTTCATGTGAAAAAAAAAAAAAAGAACCTTAATTCTTAGCTCACACCATACACAAAAATTAACTCAAAAAAGATCAGACCTGAATGTTGAACCTGAAACCAAATATAGGAGAAAATCTTTGTGACTTTGTAGTCACAGATTTTAGATAAGAACCCTTAAACTCAGTAAGACTAACAATCCAATTAAAATGTGGGCAGATATTTGAAGACAAGTCCTAAGAGTAGATTTATATATAAATTACCAATAAGCACATGAAAAGATACTCAACATGATTAGCTTACAGGGAAACGTAAATTAAAACCACATGAGATACCACTACATATTTACTAGAATGACTAAAATTGAAAAAGATATTAAGTAACTAGAAGTCTCATGCACTGCTGAGAGTAATGTTCCATAATGGTATAATCATTTTAGCTGTTCAGCAATTTATTAAGAAACTTACCACATGACCCTGTAATTTCACTTTTAGGTATTTAAGTAAGAGAAATGAAAACAAGTGTCCAGAAAAAGACATGTATAAATGACAAATGTCTATAGCAGCTTTATTCATAATGAGCAGAAACTGTAAACAATTCAAATATCCATCAACAAATGAATGGATAAACAAATTGTAGAATAGTCATTGTGAAATACTCTACAAGCAAAAGAAATGAATTATTGAAACAAACAACATAGATGAATGACAAAAATATTATGCTGTGTAAAAGTAGCCGGACACACTGGAAGTGACTACTAACATGTACTGGATTTCTTTTTAGGGAAATGGAAATATTCTAGAATTAGATAGTAGTAATGGTTGTACAACATCGTGAATATACTAAAAACTACTGAAGTGCACATTTTAAAATAAATTTTATGTTACATGAAGTCTCAATTAAAATAGTGGTCTGACATGAAAAATACATATCATATAATTCCATTTACATCAAATTCTAGAACAGTGCTGTACAACTTTCTGTGATGATGAAAATGTTTAACATCTTCACTGTCCAATATGGTAGCCACTAGACATTTTGATATGTGACTAGAGCAACTAAACAACTGAATTTTAAATTTTATTTAATTATTTTAACTTTAAAATGCCACGTGTAACCAGTAGTTACTGTATTGGACAGCACAACTCTGGAAGACAAATCTGTAGTAACAGAAATCAAATTGGTGGCTGTTGGAGGTAAGGGTGAGAAATGACTGTGAAGTGACTCAAGGTAGGTATGACAGAAATATATTCTGTGTCTTGATTGTAGCGGTGGTTACATTGATATACATTTATCAAAACTCATTAATTTGTACCTTTAAAATTAATGCACTTATAAAAAAAATCCTTCAAGCAATACAGTCTCAGTAATATGTTTTTTAATGGTAAAATAATCAATTTAAAAAAAATCTTCTTTCAAAGACTACAACCTAATTTCTGTGGCCTGCTTTAAATTTGCCCTCTCCTTTACTTGTAAATTTAATAATGTGGACTATTAAATCTACTCAAATTTTCAGATGTCACAGTCCCTTAAAAATAAAATCTATACAGGGAAAACAAGGACTGTATGAGAAAGCAGACTTCATATTATCACTTGGATTTTAGCTCTAATGTCATCTCATAGAAGCCCTCTGACTATCCTGTCTAAAGTAGCCTCCTGTCTTATTGCACCATTATTTCCTTCATCACACTTACCATACTTCCTAATTATATGTTTCTTTGCTTACCTGTCTTGCTCGAAAATTTAAGATCCATGAGGGCAAAGTCTGTCTTGTTCAACGCCATATCTCCCTGCCTAGTATGGTGCCAGGGGCACATTAAACACTTATAAAGAAGTTAAATGAATGCAGGAATACCTAGAGATAATTCATCAATGGTCCAAATTTCAAAGTTTTTCTGCTACACCCTGTCCTCTAAGAAGATAGATTATCCTTTTCTATTATGTGGGCTTTCATGCCAGCAAAAGTATTAACTCATCTCTGAGGAAAAACATCATTGGTTTAATAAAAGAAGCATGAGCTTTGGAAACAAAGAGACTATTAGCTCCTCCAAGGGAAGGACAGTCACCTATTGGTCATTCTATGGTAAGCATTATTGATATAATAAAAGGGTCATGGCTTTGGAGGCAAGAAGGCCTGGTTCATATCCCAGTTCCATAATTTACTAGTTGTACTAAGCAAAAAAGAAGCTAAGGGGCCCATTTTTTAGTTAGTTTTTTTTTTTTTTTTTTTTTTGCATAAAAAGACTAGGAATCCTGGAATAGCCAACAGAAAATACAGCAGAACTGCCTTCAGATCTATGTCCTCAAAAAAGAGCTCAAGCAGAGTCTGAAAATTGCCTAGGTTCAAACATGGATTCAGGTGAAGCGACTCAGGTATGTTTGAGGTCCCTTGATTTATTCCACAATTCTTGATTTAACCTAATATATTATTTGGTTTTATTCTTTAAGCCTATTTCATAGAGAAAGTAAGATTCACGAAAATATCTTTGTGACCCAGGAGATTTGGAATCAGGTGGCAATAGGTGGTTATTACTTCAGGAGGGCTAAACCCATTATTTTAGTACTCTCTTGGTCCTAGAGCCTTCTGCATTAATAATTCTAACAGATAAATTAAAATATTTTGTTTAGAATCGAACATTGTTACTTGTGTCTTTAACCTGATATCCGTCTTGCCTCTCATTCCTATAATCCAGTGCTTCTCAAAGTATAGGTCTCTGATCAATCACTTGCTTAACAATCATCTCATCTAATCTTCAAGTTGTTGATGGTAGCAAGTTCTACATGGCCCACAAAGATTTCCCAGTTCTCTGATCTCTAGATTTCAATTGTCTTACATTGTTATTTAGTTATTTTACAGCTATTTCATGAATCCCTAAGTAGTTTCTGAGGGCCGAGGCAAGACTATTTTTTTGTCTTCTTACATGTGCAGCATCATGCTGCCACTTGTTACCAAAGTAAATATTTCTTTGTGTAGTTGATTTTCCTTTTCCCTAAAGTACTGTTCATCAAACTCATAAAACTTTATTTGAAAATGAAAATACTTACTTGCATCAATCATTGATTTATATTCTAAGAGTTGTTGTTTTGTCTGTGCTCTCAGCCTGAAAACAGATAAAGAGAAGAGAAAGTCATATATTTATTGAGGTTTTACTCATTACTATAAGAGAAAGCAATTCATCTTTTTTGGAAGCTGATGCAACAAAATGAAAATAAATAAACTCAGCATTAAAGTCTTCAAGTTTGGCCTCATTTTATTTAAAATGCGTATAAAGAACTTTAAGGCCTCAAGAAGAATACAACAAAATTAAATACAGAGGAAAAACAGCATCTGTGAGAAAAAGTTAAAAATTAGATTTTTAAATTTTTTACAAAATTAAACTTATTGGGTGATATAAAATTATATCAATGGGCCACAATGAAGTGGGGCTTAATGATCAAAATGGGGAAACATGCAAACACTGTAATGAGTTACAACCAGATTGCAACACTTTCAGGAGATCCAGAAAAATAACAAAGATACTAATCCTTGGATAGCTAAGTAACTCATATAGTTTCTTAGTTGTTCTATGATTCTACTTAATTCAAAATCATACATAAAATAAATATAAAACCTATGGGTAAAATGGTAATTAGTTATAAGCTGTACTTAAAAGATGTTTCAGATTTACTTGGTAGTTTCATAATTCTGAAACTGTTTACTTCATGCCTTTGAGATCTATTTAAGAAGCTAAGAAACATTACACAAATTTCTAAAGCTCCATGACATAAGTTCCTTATGTTTCAAAATTCCAAATGAAGAGAGCAATTTCATGGATGTCGTCAGCTAGTGTTTTAAAAGACACATTGAAATACGAGTTTCTTTTCAGCTGAGATGGAAAAGGAGATCTTATATCTTAAATGTTTATTTTATATTGCAAGGAGGGAATTTTTAAAGTGAGGTTGTGAGATTTATAAGCCAAAGCCTTTCAAAGCAGTGGCAAAGCTAAAATATACTTACAATGCTTATTTTTTTAAAAATCCCCTTCTTATGATTAAGAACCAGTCTGCAGTATTTTTCTGTAAAGGACTGAGTAGCAAATATTTTAGGTTTTGTGAGTCATATTGTCTCTGTTGCAAATAAGCTCAGCTCTTATAGCAGGAAAGCTGTTTCAATAAGACTTAAGGGACTGAAATTTGAATTTCATATAATTTTCACGTTATTAAATATTCTTGTGATCCTGGCCTAGAGGTGTGGTTTCTACACTGGTTTAGGAGATTGATGTCCCTTCTTATTAAATCTTCCCCTAGCAACTGCCTAGTGGAAAAGTATAAACATCGCCCTGTTGATAGAAAACACAGCAAATGAAGCTTCTGGATCGAAAAGGGTCATAAGCTATAAAAGGGCAGTGCAATCTCCCTCCAGTAGCTCAGGGTTTGGATGAACCCCACAACCCACTTAAAAATAGGGGCCCCCGGGAGTGAGGGGATAAGAAAGGGAAAGGGCTCTGGGCACTGTGCTAAACACCTGTCCCAGAGTATCTCATTTAACCTCACGAGCAACTCTACTAGGAGAGTGTCATTTTTTTCTCTGCTTTTCGAAGATGAAAACAGGAGCTTAAGGAGCTTAATTGAAAGATGCAGTCACGCAGCCACTCAGTACCGGGTCTAAATTCAAGGCATTCTGGCCATTCAGAGCGAAGGGCGGAGCTCTTGGCCACATCGCGCAATTGGTTCCGGCCGAGTGGGCCAGAGGGAACAACCTGAGCAGCAGGGTCGTGTGGTCCTCGGGACGCCCCGCCTCGGCGCCAGAGACCGGCGGCGGCCCGCCTTCCCCTGGGGAGTCCGCGGGCTCGGCAACCTCATGCTCCTCGGATGGCTTCTCCATCTTGGCTGGCAGAAAAAAATACCGCGTAGGACTGCCAGACGCTACCACAGAAGGGACCACTTTTCCCGCCACTAACTTGACGCCCGGAAGGGGCTGGAGAACCGTCGCGTCCCGCCCCGCCCCTTCCGCCCTGCAGCCCCGTAGTTTCCGCCCCAAAGCTGCGTCCTATCCGTCTGATTCTTCGGTTGCCACTGTTACTCCTGTCCCTTTTATCCTGGCTCTGCTGGTGGAAATCGTTGCAAACCACTAGTAAAAAAGTTCGGAGAACTTTAATTGACCGTGAGTTCTGTCGAGTGCTACGCTATAGCTATTTGGGATACTTAGCTGCTGGGAGCTGCAGCCTCGAGGGTAAAACCCCAAAACGCGAATGCTCATTCATCCTTGGCGCTGGGACTCAGGATCTCCGGGACAACCGTTTTTAGACGCATCGTGTGCCGGGTAGGCTAGGAAAGACGTATTAGAGGGTTAAGTAGACTCGATCTGAGTTCACAAGGTCCAGACCCGGTTGGCGGAGAAACGAGTGGCCCAAATTCAGATACCCACAGTGCAGACACTTGAACCCCAGACTACCAGCGTGAAATTCCACTATCAGTAAATTTCTCGCTCGTAACAGTTGAATGCCCCCCAAGAATCAGCCTGTTAATTTGGGGTTACAACTGAGCTGTCTTAGCTGGGCAATGAGCTGGTCATGAAGAAAATGCAGGACATAAATGCCTGCTTGTTTTTCATTATGGGCAGCGATGTAAGGGACCCATCTTTTTGGCACAAGCACAGCAGCTCAGACCCCTTGGAACAAGAGAGATGAGCATTCTCTTCTACAGCTGGTTTCCCCAAGTTACATTTAATCACACAGTGCACCCCCTTTCTTCCTCTCCATTATGAGAGAAATATGGATCCTGGTAAAAGATTCAAAAGGCACCGTAGAATTCGAAATGAGATATTCAGTTTGCCATTCCTACCCCCAAACTCCTGGAAGAACATCTTGTTTCCATTTATTTTTAGTTCTACACAAAAGTGATCCTATTGTTCTTTTTCCACTTTATCAGGGATGTCTTCCAATATCTCACGTCAGCCTCATCCTTTTCTGCAGTTGCCTATCAAGTGTCCACTGGGAAAATTCAGGACAAAGACAATGCAGTTCTCCAATCTGAGCAAGCATCAGAATCATGGGAAGGGCTTGTTAAAACAGATTGCTAGCTGCCAAAGTTACTGAGTTGCATTTCTAACAAGTTCTAGGTGATGTTGATATTGCTGGTTAGAGACAACACTTTGAGAAACACTATATTAATGGAGTCTAACAATGATTTTTTTGAAAATCCAGGGTAAACAAATTAGTACAGGTGTGGGTGGGAAGCTGTTCTTTAGAGAATGTCCAATATATAGAAGGGGTAACGGAATTACGTAACTACCATCATGCCACTCCCAGTGAGATAAATGATTCAAAGCAAACATCACTAATAGATACTAAAACTAAAGAGAACAGCACCTTTACAGCAAAGCTGTACCTGGTAGTTACCACCTTAACCAGATGATCAAACTTGGTATCACCAGCAGTTTAACAATCTGATATGTAACTCCAATATGAAGCATAAGTTGTACAAATCACCTACAATCTTGCCAAAATGCATAACCTGAAATTATGGAGAAACAATCATATAAAACTTGAATGAGAGACATTCTATAAGACAAGAGTCTGAGGCAATGCATGTCCATGCCTTGAAAAACAAAAAGCAGGGCAATTGTTCCATTTGGAAAAACAAATGAATCTTGATTGGATACTGAAGTGGAAAAAAGTTAAGTCTTTAGAACATTTGAGGAAATTTGAATATGTACTGCACATTACATATGGAGTTGTTAATTTTCTTGTATGATAAATATTGTGATTATTTAGGAAAATGACCTTAATTCTTAGTAGATGCATGATGAAGTATTTTAAGGTGACATCTTGAAACCTGAAATTTACTTTCAAATGGCTCAGAAAAAGAAAAGGAATATATGCATGTGCATGCACACATGTATATACTTCTACACAAACTTCTCTCTACAGCTATAGTTTAATTAATTTTCCTATATAAGTCACTAGAACTATGTCACCTATAAGGAAATCAAATCCCTTTTTATATCCATGGAATATTTACAAAAGTCAATCAAGTACTTATCCACAGAGAAAACATTAACTGTTTCAAAAAAGGCTTTTTAACAGAAAATTACAAACCACCAACATAAAGATGTTAAATAATCTCCAGGTCAAAAAGGACCTCAAAGAAATTATAACTTAACCAAAAGCTAATGAAAAGGACTTTAGAAACAAGCTATCTCAGAGGAAAATGTATAAAGGCTTTTATTACTAAAATACATTAAGCATTTAACTTAAATTAGAAAATAACCAAAAGAAAAACAGATAAAAGTAATATAAAAGCTAAAACTATAAATTAAAGGTGGTAGAAATAACACCAAAAGCTGATTATTTCGAAACAAAACCCCCATGGGCAAGTCTGATTAGAAAACAAAAGTATTTAATACCAGGAATGAGAAAGAATATATAACTATAATACAGAAAAGACTAATTATATCATTTACCTCTACCGCTATAATTTTAAAAACCGAGATAGATGATTTTCTAATATTGGGGGAAGAGGAAGAATTCCTAAAAGACCAAAAGACCATAAAAAACTATTTTAAGCAGCTCCAGACCAAATGACTTTAGTTTGAAGTAGATAGTTTTCAATGAATGAATAAAGACTTCAAATTATAAAGTCTTGAAGATGAAAATCTTTAATCCACCTCCGGTAAAAAAACAGAAAATGGTAGCAATAACAAAAACTGAGCCAATTTCTCAAATAAAATGCAAAAATTTTTAAAGGAAACATTAGCAGATTATATATCACAAGAACTCATTCCACTTTAGGAAACCTCTAACATGGAATATTTTATCAAGTTAAAAGAGAAAAATCCTAATGATATCATAAACTAAAAAAAATTAAGTGAAATTCCACAGCCTTGCCTGTAACATTTCTCAACAAGAATAGAAAAATACCTAAAATATAAAAACCACTTACAGATTAACAGTGAAAATATTAAATGGTAAAAATACTTAAGAGATGTCTAGTTCAGGAACAAGACAAGGATCTACCTATAATCAAGGATTATTTTGGAGCTTCTAATACAATACCATAAACATTGAAAAAAATACTTTTTGGATTTAAGGTTTAGAAATCTCCACTAAAAACAAATCAAGAAAATTGATGTCAGCTGAATAATAAAAGACAACTAGCAATAGATCCTATTTATAATAGTGACAAAAACCCCATAAACTCAATAATAAACTTTACAAGAAAATTGCAGCTATATAATTAAATTCTAACATATTAAGGACATGTGAAACACCTTGATGGAGAAAAACGCTTCTGGACGGGAGGGCAATATATCAGTCCATCCCAAACTAGTACATAATATATTGCACTTATGCACATAATGTAGTCAAAATCTCAAGCTTTTCAATTAACTGGACATAATTTTAAAGTTTATATATATTTGAAAAATAGTGGTAGCCCATCTTACCAGGTAATATAATCAAGTTTATCACAGGAAAAAAAGATCAGGGAACAATAGACGGGCGTTGATATTTCAATTCAGCTGGACAAGGATGACTAATTATATGGGCATGAATGGGCACTTATCTGGAAGTAAGAATCCCACCTCATACCACAGGGATCATAAATATAAATGGGAACAAAATTTCTTGGAGGATATTTATAGTTTGGGAGGAAGTTGACTTTAACACTGAAAATCCAAAAGCAACTACAGGAAAAAATAGATTTGATAATATAAAAACTTAAAATGTTTGCATGGCAACACAGCATTAATAGTCAAAGGGCAAATAACAAACTGGGAAAGGCTTACACATTGAAAAGTTAGTAGACAACAAAAATTTATTCAAGTAATCATTAGGAGTATACATTAAAACAGCAAACAAGGTAGAATTCCCAAATTCACAGAAATTAAAGAGATTATCTTTAGTTTTGACAAAACTGCAGAGAAAACCAGCACTTTTGTACATTGCTGATGACACTGAGAAAGTCATTTGACAGGACCTGCTTTAAGTGAGAACACACATACCCTTTGGAGAACCCAATTTATGTAAAAAAAACCCCCAAAAAACCAACATGATACTTAATGATATTTAAACAGCATTGTCTTTAGGGGCAAAGAAAAAAGCCATCCAAATGTCAATTGAATGACTGAATACATTATACTCTGGAACGTAATACCCTAAAACAGATGTCTATACATATTGAAAGGAATTGCTAAGCATGTAGAAAAATCTTATGTTTTAAAATCTCCATGACAATTTATATCTATGCACATCTATGTTTATAGAAGTCATGGAAGGCTACATCTCAAACTGTTGACATCTTCAGGTCGAGGGCGTGGAGATGTAGGAGAGTTGCGGGGAGAGGTAAAATAAACTTTTTAAGATACTTTGGTATGTTTTGAGGAGTCTGTTTTATTTTCTCAACTAATAAAGAAAAAGTAAAGTATGTTTAGAATATAAAGTCATTTTTCCAAGTGAAAAAGTTGATACTAAAGTTGATAATTTAAGAAATAGTGGTAAAAGTAGATTACTTAGAATTTATGGCAGCAAACACCAGAAGAAACAGAAAATGGCGGACTAGGGATGAGGTGGCAGACTTTTACTTAAGTAGAACAAGGCAGCAGATGCTCCAAGATGACTAGGCTTACATGCAGTATGCCCTATGGAAGGTAAGGGTTTTAAATGCCTTCATAACCTTAGTAATTCCTATTTATAAAGCAAAATCCAGGTAGGTATATAAAACAAGAATCATATAAGCAACAATTATATATATTAGTTGGGTCCCTAGTTTAACTGAAAGCGCTTTTTTTAATACTCTATATTCCCTAGCATATCTTTAAGGCTACTTTTAGGGTTCCCCAAGAGCAGGAAGTGGCCACATTCAAATGAGTTAAGGTAAGAAGTAAAAAGGTCCACAACTTTATTAAAAGTAAATAAATGTAACATGTAATATATACAGATAGCACATGGTGCCAATTTTATTTGCAGATCATTACAGTACTCCAACTCAATTTCACAAGTTACACTTTTGCCACAGCCTTGGCCAGATCTTGAACTAGTGCAGAATTCAGCTGTGCAAGAGTGCTGATCTTAGCATGCTTAGCTGTGGCATACTTGTTCTTGATAGTCTGGAATAGAAAGCATAGTAATTAAGGAAGGAAAATAGGAAAAAATAAGTTCCAGTGCTACAGATATTCATGTAAAATATCAACTCCTCAAAAACAAGCTATGTATTTATGAGCATGAAGTCTTAATTATTTTTACTTTTCCCCAATATCCTTAAGTGCCACTGATTGACTTACCATGTGCTTTGTAAGTCCACGATTCACCATGACTATATTCTTAGCCAGGTGTTGCATAACAAGAAGAAGGGATTCTTCAGTATATGACAGGTAATGCTGTAGAGTTAGTGTCTAAAACAACAAGAGCTAATGTTAAAAATGCTCATCAACAACGGTTTTCATAAAATTTCCAGATGTTATTTAAGAGTAAAGTAGGGAGATAGATACTGTATGACTGATTATAATTGAAATTTAAGACAAGCTTAAGATTCCTTCTCTAGGTACTCTTCCTTTCATGATTCTCAAGAATCCTGTGCTTAAACCTATTATACACTAATGTGCTCAAATCTATACACTTTTGCAATTGCTGACTTTCTACCCCAAAGCTAGACTCCAAATTCCTTGAAGGCCCACTTTCTCATTCATACTTTTATTTCTAGGGTCTAGGGTAGCATATGGCCTATAGAAATATTTGTTGAATCAATGAATATGAATGAATTTCTAGTATGTCATTTGATCTGCTTGAACTTCTCCATCTATAAGGAGTAGCAGCTGTTCTGTCTTTCTTAAAGGGATATAGAAAAATAAAATAAGGCAATGAAATGAAGGTATTCTATGAAGACAACACAAAGAAGATATCATTTTTGATCGTTCCCTCAGCAGATGCTGTATTTAGGAACCATTTGAATTGTCCTTTTATGAAAACAGTTCTGTATTCAGGCAAATACTATTTACAATTTAAAAGCTCAGGGTAACCTAGGTCTGTGGGATAGAGCTTACCCATTCACCATTATCGAGAATTTTCAGTGCTAAACAAAAAGCTCCCGCTGCGATCTGAGAAGGAGAAAAGTGCACCATATCATAGTCCAACATCGTTAGTTCCATCAAGTATTTGGCCAAAGTATGTTGCTCCACATCAACCTGAAACAAAATCCACATATAAGTCGTTGAGCTTCTGTCAGCAAATTCTCCCTTGGCAATAACTGGCATGCTCATAAATGTAACTACAAGTGTTTATCTATAAACTCTCAAGTGCAACTGCCAATGGAAGGTCTTAATAACATATAACCTAGTTGAAAATAAATGTTTATACCTTCCCCGGGTACTTAGGTATGTATATAAGTCAGTTGAATTAGATTTGCTTGGTCGGCAGTATTCTCTAATGTACCATACCAAAGAAATCTATACCTCTCCAATCTTAGATGCTCTCCGAAGGAAATGCAGGGGTAGAGGGCGACCCAGACTAAAATTTAAAGCTCTTAGAATCTTCATTTCCATCTGTCTGATTTGGAGCTTAGTGTAAGTGTTGTCAGTCACAAAAGCAAAGTCACCGATTTCTGGAGGGTACATTTCTTCATATTTGCTTGCAATAAACATGGCAGTGACACCAACCAGCTGCAGCATCTTCTTGGGAACACAATTATTCTGCAATGGGAATTTCAACTGGATGAATAAGTAATACATATTTGAAAAAGGAGACATAGTTATGGAGAAGTAAAAAAGCAAAATCTTAATGACACCCTATCCCCCAAAACAGATTTTAGCTGCAAAGGTCTATTTCTTATGACTCAGCTTAGACCCTGGAAGGGAGGAACCTCAATTACTGAATTATGCTCACCTGCATGAACCGATCAATAATGGAAACAGTCATGTACATGGTCTCCTGCAGTAATCTGAATTTCATTTGAACTTGCACTAGCCAATCAATTAGGATGGCTCTCATGTTTCCAGTGACTTCACGACCCAGTAAGTATTTTGGTCTGACTGCTTGCTCTTCCTGCAAAAGAAATGCTGATTATCATTAGAAGCCAGTCTCCATGTGACATTTCTGACCAGAAATATGAGTCACCACAGAATAGCTCTGGGGTGTTTATAATCTGTAATAGTCTTTAAATCAATTATTCACATGGTCACTACAAACAGCTCTATCACTGAAGAAGAAAATGCATATTAAGTAGGGCACTGTGATAGGTTTTTCATATTGGCAGACCTTATGTTCAATTCACTATCACCACTGCTGGCCCACACCCTGTATGTATTTCTCTCCAAATAAAGATATCATACTATCATCTCTGATCTTTTCACCTAAGACTCTAAACCCAGAACCTGAGCTTTACAAAACAGAGAAATATAGTGGCAGCTCTCTTAGATCAGCTGGAATCCATGTGCTACCACTTTGCTGCTCCAGGGTTTAAACTGCTAAAACACCACAAATAAGGAGAAGAATGAACCATCAAAGACCAGGACATGCATCTGCTAAACCCAATCCTCCAATGTTAGAACAGAAACTTTAAAAAGAAGCCCAAAGTAGAAGGCTGGTTCTGGCAAAGGAAACCTTGCAAGACAACTTATAGAAAACGAAGATGCCCCAAAGAAACAGTCAAGAGACTAAAGATGTTAATGATGCCAAAGGAAGAGAATGCATTATTAAAAATTGGGTAAATCTGATAACTGTATAGCTTATGTTGTTACCATATAGAATGCTTCCTTGATTTTTGGTGGGGATGGAGTGGGGTGGGATGGGGAGGAAATGCCACTAATAGAAAGTTTCAGAAGTAACATGAAAGAAAACTAAAAAACTTTAGTACTCCTCTTGGACACAATGAATAATTTCCCTGATATCACATACACATCAGCTACACTGACCCAAAATGCTTTGTGTTGGGGGTGGCTATCATTTTTCCAGCATATTCTTCTTCACCATCAACTTCCTGCCTGTTATCCTCCTTAAACCCAGAATTTGGGACTTGCCTGCTTCTGTGATGGATATAAAAACTCATTCAATCTGTGGGCTTTCTATTAGAAAGAACCATAGTAGTATTCACTCACTTTGAACTTTCCCTGTTCTAAAAGGCAAATAAAAACTTCATTGGTTTGTTTAGTGACTTTTTATTTTTGGTATTCCATAATGAGAATTTGAAAGTGGAATCTACTGTTAAGAAATGCTGCTCACATCCTGGTTGTATTATTGTAAACCGTTAATGGAAATATCTTTAATAAAGCTAGATGCAATTTACTGACCTCAAGTTGCCTCAGATAAGCATAGATATCTTTTACATATTCACTACAAAGGTTTGGATCAGCTCCATCTTCTGCATCCACATCGTTCACTGCAAGAATTACATCAGAGAAAGCCTGACACAGATATTCTTCTGCAGGGGCACATCCAGACGTTTCCATTGGGCTTGGAGAGGGAGTATCAACCTTGAAACAGAAAGATCTTTTGAAATAATAGCAAAGAGGAGCATACAACCTGGAAATAAGGGTCCAATTATTGGTATCAACTCAAGAGGTCATTTGCTGAGTAGTCATATAATTCATTTCCTTAAAAAGTATTTTCAAATTTATTCAATTTCTCTTTAGGAAGTGATTAATATAAAAATTGAAATGCCAACCTGACTGAGCCAATTTGAAGTCAGCAGAACCTAAACTCTAACAGGTAAAACAGAGAAACAAATTCACACTCTGGACTTTCCTCCAAAGAAAACTGATAAGTAATAAATTTGTTTATCAGTGTCATGTGAAGTTAATCCAAACAAGTGACAAGTCAGTCTTTATTTCAAAACCTGGACTGCTTCTCACTGCTCAGGACAACACAAGTTCTGTCCTGACTACTAATTATTAACTGACTTCATTAACCATTTCTTTCAAGCTCCAGTTACCCCACTGTTCATTTATTGAGCACTTTTTTCAAGTCAAGCTCTGTCCTGGGCACCGATTTTATGGTGTCCTCAAGGGGTTTTGATTTTAGAAGAGAGAAGTACATGAAGTAAGGAGATTGATTCTAGGAACAAGGGTTGGGGTGGAGGAAGTCAGGCAAAGCTTCGGGAGTTGATACTTGAGCTGTTTTGAAGGATGAAAAGGTTATTAAACAAATGAAAGAGAGTGGAAAAGCCATTTTTAAATAGTGTGAAATCGAAGGCAAGAATCTATATGGGACTTGCAAGGAAACCTCAGGTAGTTTGGAATAGCCAATTAAAGACTGTGCATACTACAAGTGTCATGTGCTATATCCAGCGGGTCAATACTAACGCAATAGCTTCAAACGCTCTTTGATATAAAGAGCCAGGTTGAATGACTTTTACAGATTTTCCCAAATGACTTTACTACGTTTTTAAAATTAGAGCTTCAGAAAGCAGTTCATTGGAATTTCAGCAAAGTAGTCTCTTCTAGATGGCTTGTTTTTCCTTCACAGTAGATAAATTTACCTAATATTTAATAGAAAGTTCTTGGTTTTTGAGGTTGTTAACTCATCTATTCTGAGGAGTTACATTTTCACTCTGCTTTACATCTTTATATATTCCAATGTTACAGGCTTATTAGTTATTCTGTGGCCATATTAGCAAGTAAAAAAAAGATTCAAGAGAAAAATCTGTGTTTCAGTTGATAAATTCTAGTTAGAGATGGTATGTACTAAAGATAGCAAAATCTTTGATCCAGGTAGTTACTACTCAATACCATCAACAAAATGACTAAAAGCATAGGCTCAAGCCTGGGTTTGAATCCAATATGTGCTACTGGTTAGATACGACTGTAGAAAATACTTAATATTTCCCTAAGCCATTATCAAAAAAGTAGAAGTAATACTACTAGCTAAGAAAGTATAAGATTATGTGAGTTAATGTTACTATTAACGTTGTAAACGTTACTATTATTACTATTTATTCAAATGTTATTCCGTGCATTAAAGTAAAACGAAGGGGAGGAAATCAACAGGCTCTAGAAGAGTAAAATAAATTTACCACAATAGGCTCAGGAGAAAGTTTTTCTTCTTTGTTAACAGACTCAGGTTCTGGCTCTGATGCAGGCTCCGGCACAGGCTCCTGCGCAGGCTCAGGCACAGGCTCCAGTGCCTTTTCCAGAGGTTTAGGTACTTTTTTAGCAATAACTTTTCCAGCAGCTAAAGTTTTTGCTTCCTGTGAATGAATGGGAGAGAATGGAATGTTTCTCCATCTAGAGTCACAGCTGGAAGATGGACTTTTACAGAGAAGTTGGATGAGGAAGATAGTTACCTTTTTCAGAGGTAATTTGGCCTGTGGCTGTTCACTGACTTTGTTACCGATGTCTCCAAGGGCGGTTCTTGGTCTCAGGCCCGGCTTGGAGGCTGCAGCAGTGGACACAGGCACGCGCTTTGCGCCTGCCATATTGATCTTCACCTTATTTTCAGCATTAATTTTCGTGTTCTGAAAGAAGCAAGACCACTTTGAGAGCTTGCCCAGCCAGGTTAGAGTAAGTCTGGAGTTAATTAAGATGAGGCAAAACAGAGGCTCTCAGGAGTTAAGTCGGCTGTAAATGAGTTACCAGGGGAAACCCGGGTTCCAGGGTCTACGCTAAGACTGTGACAAGTCAGTTTCCTACCTGAACCTCTTCACTTACCTACAGAGGCCTAGCACTTTTAGTCCCGGCCAACACTAAAGTATAGCAAATTTACATTTGAATGAAAACCAAAAGGCCTATAATTGCAGGCACCTTCTTTCTCTCCAGGAAGGGGGTTACGCAGTTGGTGGGAGCCCACAAAAGCGCCCTCCATCACCTTTCAGAAAAGGTTTCCCACCGACTTTCCCTCCATTTCCCCCCAAACGTTTATCCAAGGCTCATCCAGATCTGTTTGTCACCTTCTTTTCTCCGTCAGTGTGCCTCCCATCCCCAAACTACCCTACCATGCCAGGGGCCTACCGACACCCCCACTCCCCCAAATCTCTGTTCTGGTCCGCTCCTGCCTGAGGGGCTCCCAACAGGCGAGACAGGGAGAGGACAAGCAGCGAGAAAGGCCACGTTTGTTCACCGTCCGCAGCAGCTCACCCTGGTGACCCGGAACGCCATGGCTTCCTCTTCAACAGGTAGCAGCTCAGAGGAGAGAAGCCGAGAACTCGAGCCCCCGACAAGCCGGGGACCTGAATTCAACACAGATCAACAGCCGTTCCTCTGCAGCACGCTGGGAGATGCAGGGCCTTGCCTCAGATTTAAACCCCGCACCGCTCCCTCCTTATTGGCCTGTTCATGGCACTCGCTCCCTTCCCATTGGCGGCTGCGGGTTCCCCCGAGAATGCGTCTCCAGGGCGATCCCGCGGAGACGTACGAGAGGGGGCGGAGCCAGAGCGAGGCTGCGCCGCAGGGCCGCCGCCCTCGCTCGCTTGGTCTGTCTTCGCGCCTGCGCTCTCGCGCATTTGAGGCTGCCACCTGGAGAGGCGGAGGGAGGAAAACTTGAGTGCTGCCTGATGTAGCCTAGGAGACCGCCTTGTGGCCTCCAAAAAGTGACAGTTGAGCAGCCGCAGCGTGAGGAGCAGTTATGGCTCTAGTCCTACTTATTGTTACACATTTTCCTCTTCTACAGTGGTATGTAGTCGGAAAGGCTTTGCTATACCTTCATTTGATCTTTCCAGCAGCATTCTGGAAGAACTAAAGCTCAGAGAAGCTTTAGGTGACTGTACCTGGATCACAAATTAGTAACATGGGGACGAAATGTAGGTTTTTTTGTTTTTGTTTTTGTTTGGATCCGTGACGTTACCACAATGTTAATTGTGTAAGAATATTGTCAATTTCTTAACCTGCCAGGTTACTTCACATTCTTTCTTAAAGCCATTCTTTTTGTTTTAGCTTTTTATTTGAGAGTAATGTCAAACTTAGAAGAATTGCAAACAGAAATATTATAAGGAACACACGTATACCCTTTTCCTGGATTCAACTATCCTTAACATTCTACTCCATTTGCTTAATTTACTTGATTTATGTATAAACTGTATAAAATTATTCTTCCTGAAACATTTGAGGAAAGTTTTATATATCATGGCCTTTTATTCTTCAATTCTGCAGTGTGTAATTCCTAAGAAAAAGGGATATTCTCATATAACCATATAGTTAATAACTCCAAAAATGTACTTTATTAAAATATTTTATTCATCCTAGTTAATATTCCAATTTGTCAGTTGACCTAATAATATTCTTTATAGCAGCGCTCCCCAGTTTTTTTGGCACTAGGGACTGGCGCTTCTATGAAAATCTAATGCCGATGATCTGAGGTGGAGCTGAGACAATGGGGAGCGGCTGTAAATAAAGATGAAGCTCTGCTTGTTTGCGGGGCTCACCTCCTGCTAAGCGGCCTGGTTCCTAACAGGCCACAGACCAATACTGGCCACAGACCAGTATTGGTCTGTGGCCGTGGGTTGGGGACTCCTGCTTTATAGCATTTTCCCTCCTTCAGTACATGATCCATTCTAGGGTGAGATGTTATTTAGTTATCATGTCCCTTTAGCTTCCTTTAATCTGAAGTTTCCAAAGCTTTTATTTGTCTTTTATAATATTGATGTTTTTGAAGAACACAGTACTCCCTACCACTTTTTAAAAAATAGAACTTTCTTATTTTTGTGTTTGTCTGGTGGTTTCTTATGATTTAAATTGAGGTTGTGCATTCTTAGCTATTATACCATAACACAGGTGACATCATGTTCTTAGGGGATCAACTCTGCAGATACATGATATTTGTCCATCATAAATGAAGTTAATTTTAATCACTCGGTTTAAGATGTTGCCTGATTTCTTCCCTGTACATCTACTGGTTTTTTTAAATTGCGACTAATAAATTGTCTGTGGGGAGACTCTTTAAGGCCATGCTCCTCTCAAATTTCCCCTTAGATTTCACATCCCTTCATAGCAGCACTTGCTTAGGAATGCTGAAACTGTTGTTTCATTGCCATGGGCTCCAGCTAGCTGAAGCTGATAAAAAAACAAACTTTGAATGACCCTAGGATGCCAGGGTCACTCAAAATTAAGTCTTCACCAGACTTAATTGAAGACCCCCTTCCTGACTATTGCACAATGGAAATTCTTTTATCTGGGGGACATTTTATCCCACAGGGGACATTTGGCAATGTCTGGAGGTATTTTTTGGTCAAGACTGAGAGGGTGCTAGTGGCATCTAGTGGGCAAAGACCAAAGATGCTGCTAAACATTCTACAATACACAAGACAGCCCCCGCCCCCAAACACACACACAAAGAATTATCCAATCCCAAATGTTGATAGTTTGATAGTGTGAAGCTTGAAAAATCTTGCCAACTATGAACAACTGTGTATACAGACTCATTTCTATTCAGAATTCTAGTTATTCTTAATTACAATAAGTACCATGGATCACCTCCTTTCTTTATAGCATGTAAAAACTTCTGACTTTTCTCCTCAATGAACTACTCAGTGTTCTCTCCCCTGGCCAAGTTAATAGTGTCTATAGTACATACCAGGCATTGATCTAGGTGCTAGGAATACAGCTCTGAACGAAACAGACAAGATCCCTGCTCTTATAAAGCTATATTCCAGTAGGAGAGAGAGACTAAACAAGTAAGTAAAGTGGAAAAAAAAAAAAAAAAATTGGCTAGTACTAAGTGGTAGGCAGAGAATGAAAAGAAAGTGAGGCAAATAGAGTGACTTGGTAGCTACTTTAGACATGGTGGTCAGGGATGGTCTGAGAAAGTGAAATTTAAGCTGAAGCTTAAATGACAAAATGGAGAACATTCTAGATAGAGAAAATAGCCTGTGAAAACCCAATGATAGGAATGAGCTTGTCATGTTCAGAAAAGCTAGTGTGGCTAAACTATGTGAGAGAGGAATTGCAGATGAGATTAAAGAAATTATAAAGGGTAAAATTGTAAAAGTCCTTGTAAACCAAGATAGAGAGTCTGGGCTATAAGTACAGTGGAAGCCTCTGGAGGGTTTTAAACCAAAGTATGGCATAATCTCTTTCAAAAAGATAACTGTAATCACTGTGGAGATAACGTATGTAGGTGGGAAAGAGGAAGGGGAAGCAGAAGGGAAAGTGAAGATAGGGGAGCCATGAAGAGGCTATTGTAGGAGGCCGGGTGAAAAATGATGGCTTGGTCGGTACTGGTAATGTTAGACAGAAAGGGATGGGTTCTGGATATGTTTTGGAGGTAGACTTGCTGGGTCTTGATGGCTTGCATGCTTGGAGTGAGAGAAAAGGAATCAAGGATGACAGGCTTTGCCTTGAGTAACTGAAACAGAGAAGTCTAAGAGATGAGCAGCTTTTAAGGGGTAGCAAGTTTGGGGTAGGAGATCAAGAATTCTGCTATATTTAGAATACTTAGAGATATACAAGAGGAGAGGTTTACTAAGCAGAAGTCAGGGTGGCAGCTAAAGTCTCTTTTGCTGTAGATAATATTTAAACCCTGACACAGATGAGGTCATCTAGGGAAGGGATATAAAGAAGAGATGCCCAGGGGTAAGCCCCAGGGCCCTCCTTACTTAAAGATTGAACAAAGAAGAAGAAGCCAGTAAAGAAAATTGAGCAAGAACACCAACCAGAAAGCTTGGAGACTAAATAGTGTGTGAGACGAGAAGGCAGTGTTTCACAGAGGACAGTATTTTAACATGGCAGATTGAATATACACATTTATATGTTTCTTCCTGAAGATAGTAAAGGGATAATTTTTAAAAATGCATAAAATTTCAAAGATGGGTGAGAAGACCATAATGACACAACTTTGGAAGTAGGAAAGCATATTAAAGACTGGTGATGGAAGTATTGGACTAACATAGTTGAAATTTAAACTGGCAGTGGAAAGCCAAGAAGCAAACGGACTCATGTTATAAACTCCAGCAAGTCTCAAGGAATTGGAGGCACCAGGAGCCCATTAAATTGGTGGTATGGGTGGAGCTGAAAACAGGATTTGTTGCTTCTCTCCTGCAAATCTGAGCACAGTGGGAGTGCAGTCTCTTCCTGGTCCTGGCAGATAACTGGAGATTTATGTTCTGGAGAGGCTGAACTAAAAGAACTCTGGATTTTGTACACCAGGCAAGCCGAGTGGAGATGAAGTGAAATTCTTCATACCAAATGGTGAGACCTTCAGTTTCCTTCTTCCACTCAGTCTCCTAAATGCAGGCAGCTGGACTTATACCCTTATAAATGAGATAAAAGCATGCTTCTCTGGCAAATGGACTAGAGCAAGAGAAAAGGCTTAAAAATACTGATGGTTAGAAAGGGTGCCCAATGAAATGGCTGGGTCATCCTTAAAGTGACACTCATCACTTGGCATGCACGTACACACTAACATAGAGCTACTAATCAATAATTCAATGTCTTATTCTTAACAGCCAGCCAAGGAGCACCAAACATTTGAGGAAATCTCTTTGAAAGAAAGAGACCTACGCAAACAAACAAAAAAGAAACTCCAACTAAACAGGCAATTCAAGGCAAAGAAAGCTAAAAAATAAAAATAAAGATAGTTATATCCTTTAGAGAAATAAAAGATAATGCATCCACAAGCAAGTTTAAAAAAGAGGATTGGGAAATTAAAAATATGATAGCAAAAATTAAAAATGCAATAGGATATTTGGAAGAAAAATTCCAGAGAATTTCCCAGAATAAAGGACAAAAGACAGATGGAATAGAAATGATAAGAAAATTAGAGGATCGTTCCACAAGGTTTGACATACAACTTATTAAGGATTCTAGAAAAAAAAAAAAGACCACTTCCCAGACAAAAAGCTAAAGGAGTTCACCACCAAACCAGTATACAAGAAATGTTAAAGAGACTTCTTTAATTGAAAAGAAAAAAGATCAAAATCATGAATAATAAATGGCAATAACTACATACCTATTAATAATTACTTTAAATGTAAATGGATTAAATGCTCTAATCAAATGGATAAGAAAAGAAGACCCATACATATGCAGCCTAGAAGAGAGTCATTTCAGATAAAAAGACACACAGACTGAAAGTAAAGGGATGGAAAAAGATATTTCATGCAAATGGAAACAAACCAAAAAAAAGCTGAAGTAGCAATACTTAGATCAGACAAAATAGACTTTAAAACAAAAGCTATTAAAAGAGAGAGGAAGACTCAGCAATTCCACTTGTGGGTATTTTTCTGTTTCACTAATTTGAAAAGACACATTCATTCCTATGTTCATTGTAGCAATTATAATAGGTAAGATCTGGAAGCAATCTAAGTGTCCATTGATAGATGAGGTGGTACATATAAACAATGGAATATTACTCAGCCATAAAAAACAATGAAATTTTGCCATTTGCAACATGAATTGACCTAAGGGGTGTTGGACTAAGTGAAATAGGTCAGAGAAAGACAGATGCCATATTATTTCACTTATACGTGGAAACTGAAAAACAAAATGAAAAAAAAGAGAAAAACTCTTGGATATGGAGAACAAATTGATGGTTGCCAGATGAGAGGGGAGTAGATGGAAGAGTGAAAAAGAATTAAGACGTACAAATTGCCAGTTATAAAAAAGTCACGAGGATGCAAAACACAGTATAAAGAATACAGTCAATAATATTTTAATAACTATGTATAATGTCAGATGGGTAGTAGTCTTATTGGGATGATCACTTTGTAAGTTATATAAATGTCTAGTCACTATATTGTAGACCTGAAACTAATATTCTGTGTCAACTGTAATTGAAAAAAAAAGTTATCAAAAAGAAAAAAGAGAAAATGCAGGGAGGAAATTATTAAAGAGTTAAAGAACACAAGAAAACTTCATAGAACTGAAGGATATGAGTTTCATGAATTTGTATGTGAGTTTCATGCATAATAAGTGAACAAAGACTCATCCCACGGCTCACTGTCCTGGCATATAACATTAAGAATAAAGGGAAGACCTTAAAAGGAAACAAAAGATAGCATACAAAGGGTCCAGAATCAGAATGGAATTGGACATTCAACAGCAATGTTGAAATCTACAAGATTCTGAGGTATAATTTCAACTGTTTGTACCCAACCAAGCCATCAAACAACCAGATATTTTCAGATTTACAAAGTCTGAAAAATTGTCTCCCATGTATCCTTTCTTAGGAAGTTATTGGAGTGTATAGTTTCCCAAAACAAAAACGAAAATTAAAAAGGAAGATGTGGTTGCCCGACTTCAAATTATACTACAAAGTGACATGGTATTGGCAGAAAAACAGACACACAGAGCAGTGGAACAGAATCTAGAGTCCAGACTGTTGTCTATCACCACACACCAAAATCAGCTCAAAATGGATTAAGGATCTGAATATAAGACCTGAAACAATAAAATGCTACAGAGAAAACATAAGGATCTTGGACTTATTTTATGAATTTGATCTGAAAGGCAAGGGAAGTAAAAGCAAAAATAAATATATGGGACAACATCAAACTGAAAAGCTTCTGCTCAGCAAAAGAAACCGTCAACAAGGCAAAGAGACAACCATCCAAATAGGAAAGTATATTCGCAAGCAATGCCTCCAATAAGGGCCTAATATCCAAAATATACAAAGAACTCATTCAACTCAATAACAACAACAAAAAACAATCTAATCAAAAAATATGGGCAGAGGACCTCAACAGATACGTCTCACTAGAGGACATACAAAGGGCCAACAGATATTTGAAAAGATGCTCAACATCGCTAGCTATTAGGGAAATGCAAATCAAAACCACAATGAGATAACATCTCACACCTGTTAGAGTAGCTATAACCAACAGGACAAATAACAAATGTGGGAGAGGATGAGGAGAAAAAAGAACCTTCATTCACTGCTGGTGGGACTGCAAATTGGTACAGCCACTATGGAAAACAGTATGGAGGTGCCTCGAAACACTGAGGATAGACCTACCTTATGATCCAGCAATCCCTCTACTGGGTTTTAACCCCAAAGACTTCAAAACTCATATCTAAAAGATATTTGCACACCGATGTTCATAGCAGCATTATTCATGGTGGCCAGGACATAGAAGCAAACGAAGCATCCTACGATAGATGATTGGCTAAAGAAGCTGTGGCACATATATACAATGGAATATGAATCAACCATAAGAAGAGATGAAATACTGTCATTTGCGACAACGTGGATGGACCTCGAGATAATCATGCTAAGCGAAATAAGCCAGACAGAAAAGGTTTAAAAATCACATAACACTTATATGTGGGCTAGAAACCTAAAAACAACAAATGAACAGGACAAACAGAGATTCATGGACATGGACTATAGACTAGTGGTTACCAGAGGGTAGGGAGTGGAGGAGGAAGGGGAGGTAGATGGGGTAAAAGGAGTCAAATATGTGGTGACAGAAAGAAATTTAACTATGGGAGGTGAATACAGTGTAAATATATATATGCCTTACTGTTAGAGTGTATAGCTGAAACTTATTGGATTTTGTTAACCCCTGTCACCATAAAAATATATATATTATAATTAAAAAAAAATAAAGGAAGATGTGGGATTAAAAAAAAATAGTTCTAACACAAGAGAAAGGCTAAGGGAATTCCCAAGACTTTGAAGATTCTAGACTGGCACTTTTCAGTAGGCCTAGAGAACAAACAGTAGGATAATAATTACACATATTTATTGCTAAGAACAGTGCCCATCTGACATATGGTAAGGGTTCGGTAGTTTTCTTCATAGTACTTTTCACAACCTGACATTTTTACATACTAGGTTGTCTTCACTAGAAAGTAAGGTCCATTAGGGCAGGACTTTGTTTTATTGATGACTTTATCCTTAGTTCCTAGAGCAATGTCTTTGTATAAAGGACTTTAATAAATTTTTCAGTGAATTTATTGAATGCTTTAAAAAACGTAATAACTATTGAATTGTATTATTTTCTTAAATGGGCTTTCCATAACTGTGTGAATATTGACAGATCTATACTTTGTTGCAAGGGGAAACCTGCTTGGCCTTTAAATTCAAATGGGAAAGAACTGTAGAAAGTGGAAAAATATGTACCTGAAAACATCTAATCTGCATTATTGAAATATATGCTAAAGCAAATTTAGTATGTGATAACACCAGAATACTAGAAAAAAGCAGATGATTATGTAGTGCTTATTACAGAAGCACATAGTAGCTTCTAAATAATTACCAGCAAACTATAAAGACACTTCAAAGAAACACTTAAAAATATAGAAGTTAAATTATAATTTAAGCTTTTGATAGTTGTATACACTTGTGTAACCACCACCCTGATCTAGACATAGAACATTTCCATCACTCCAAAAAGATCCCACCTGCTCCTTTTCAACAAACTCCATGTCCCCAAGCAACCATGTGGTAGGCAGAATAACAACCCCCAAAAGATGTCCTTGCCCTAATGCCGAGACCTGTGAATATGAACAGACCTGCGACTATGTTACATGGCAAACTGTGACAATCTCTATGAAGTGCAACTTAGGAATATTTTTCAGATTTATAAATGTCCTAAACCCTTTGCCTCTGAAATTCTGCTTGTTGGAATTTATTCTACATATTTATTTGCATATATGCAGAATGGTTTTGTCTGTATGAGGATATTCATATCAGCATATAATAGCAAAAGATTGGAACCTAAAAAAACCCATCAATAGGGTTACTATACAGCATATAATAGCAAAAGATTGGAACCTAAAAAAACCCATCAATAGGGTTACTATACAGCTAAGAAAAAGAATGAGGATGCTCTTTAATGTTTCAACTATGGAATAATTTCTAAGTAAAAAATAACATATACCTGTATTTGCTTGTATATTCATATAAAATATCTGGAGGGTATGCTAGAAACTGACAAGTGTGGTAATTTTTAGAAAGGAGAGCTGTATATCTGAGTGACAGAGGTGGGAGGCTGTCATTTACTCTTTTGAACTTGGACCATGTGACCATTAACTAGTAAACATGAATCTCCGCATTAATATAGTAGATATTTTAGGGAAGACTCATAATCTAAGTTCAACGTAAAACCAGAATCCTTTAGAGATATCTAATTATGTATAGCTTCATTATTCTTGTGCTGCAATTAGGAAAGTTTAAAGTGTCATCATTTATCATGTAAAAGAAACAATTAATCTATATTATAAAAGATGTAAAGTTTATTCTAAGTAGAAAGCACAATCTCCTAAATTGGTAATAATGGAAAACAGTGGTTGGAGAGAAAGGGAAGAGAGAGAATTGGGGTATTAACCAATCACCACCACTCTTCTTGGGGCAAACAGACTATAATTAGGCTTCTATTTGGGGCATTATTTTAACCTCGTTTGTTCACTTAATATCTAATTACTCTCTTAGATACTGACTTCAGTAGAAAAAAGAGACAAATTAATAAAAGCTACCTCTGAAGTCAGGTTTAAAATAATAATTCTTCAACTTTATTTAGCCCTTTTCAACTTTCAATTCACTTTTACATACATTATTCCTTTTCTGCCTCATAACCCTGTGAATTCGAGATTTTATTCTGAATTTATGTATGAGAAAAAAAAGACACCCAGAGAGGCTGATTTGCCTCAAGTCACATGGTTTATATAAGCTGGAACCAGTACCCTGGTGCTCTTTAATACTGGAGTTTTTCTACTTCTCACCTGCACCCCCTTAACCTTCAGCCCGTCTTCACTCTATTCTTGATATTTCTCAGTCACCATTTAATTTTTCTGTGGTTTATATGCCTTCTAAGGGAAATGGTGCAATATTTATTGTACCTATCTACTTAAAATTATTTAATGTGTAAATATTGCATTGAAACATCAATATGAATTATTTTCCCACCATTCAAAAATTTTAATATGTATTGAAGATTTTGGACCAGATAGTGTGTAAAGAGAAGACAGGGAATACCAAAATAACTTATAACAAATTTCTAAACCTCTCACATATTAAATATAATAAGACAAAAATATGATTTACAATACACATTGGCTTTTATGGTATCGATAATAAAATAGTACCCATACTAAAATTAATTCATCCTATTTATCAAAATTTCTAGTATAAGAATGAAAATATTCAGATTCTTATAAATAGATAGGTAGTTAAAAGTTTCCTTTGGACAACATTCTTTGGTGTTTATAAAACTGCATATATATCATACAGTCTTCTCAGACTATACTTTCAGTTTAAATTAGAAATTAAAAAATATAAGTTAGCTATTATTATAGAAAGCGGTTATAGGGTAAATATTTTGATTTCATGGTACCCAAGTGTTTATGGACAATATTTACTTATTAAACTTTAAAATAACTACCTATGCTTCAATATTTCTTATGTATCTACATGTTCCAGAAATTTTTTAAAAATTACATTTATAGGCAGAAAATTCAACTCTGAGTTGACAATTATTTATGATTCTCTCAACTGGCTATTCCACAACATGTGGAGTTAAATGCAAAGATGAAAAGCACTGTTTGGATACCAAATTGATAAGCAACTAGGAATGCCAGATGCATAATCAGAAATGGAATATTCTACTTTAGAGGCAGAAGACAAGTGAATGAAAACATGGATAAAACTTAGTGTAAGTTCTTTACCCTAATAAAGTAATTATTCATTTGCAAATATTATCAAAAGTAAAAAAATTTATTTTATGGAGTGGTTGGTTTTTGTAATACATCAAAAACTGTATATAATGTTATACTTCCCTGTTCTCACTGCTAGTCTCACATCAGTGGTTGAAGTTTCTCCCAAATAATTTAGTTTACATTTAAAGTGGCAATACAGATTTTACTTAATGGATTTAAGTTATAATTAGAAACCAGTTTTATATACAGAAAATCCATAAATATAGAACTTTTATCCCTATTTTATCCTAGGGCTATGCAAAAAATTGACTAAAAATTTTTCATTTTGGTCTTTGTAATAAACACGTAAATACATTATTTACAATGGAGATGCTGTCTAACAAACACAGAAGTAATTTTGGTCTTCACTCGATTCCATTATATGTTCATTTTCAAAGATGATGTGTTCAATCAAATTTTAAGATTCTTGTTATACACATAATTCAATAATTATTTTAGTTGAACAATTAATGCCTCATTCTGTATTTAAATTTCCTTTAAGAAAGATTCCTTGATCCAGCAGTAGGGAGCTTTAAACTTCAAATACGACAAAGTGTTTCTGTACAATTATGTGCAATTTTCTTCCTTCTGGCAATATTATAAATAATGAGTCATTTAATCTTCATTGTTCATGTCCCAGGGGAAATTCTTGAGTTATCTCACATGATGTAAGTACCATCTTTGTAGTATTTCATGGACTCCATTTGTTTTGTCATAGCCAGGACATCATGAAATCCTGTACTTAGGCCAGACATATGTTGAAAGTATGCCTCTTTTTCCACTTGAATTGTTAAATTGTTTACTCCAGCATCTTTAAGTATTCCTGTAACCTGTTATAAAAATCCATATTTTAAAGCATTTAGATTAATGTATTTAATGCACATCTTAAATAATCAGTATCATGTTCTTATAGCTACAGATAGTAAAAGATAAATCTTCAAAATATGTTTGCTATTTATTTGGCCAAATGTTAGATAGGATCTTTCAGAAGGCCAGTAAATTCTGATCTCGCATTCGAAGTAGTAAAAAGAAAGTTATCGTTTCCAGTTAAGTATGTTTAGAATAGGACACAGGAACTGTTTTGAACCTTATCTTCAACCATAACATATACCCTGCCAACTTTAATATTATTAACTCTGGGCTACATTTACAATAACTTATTTTTTGATAATTTATTGGGAATGAAGGTGGACTATGAATGAATTTTTTACATTAACTTAAACTTATCCTCTAAATACTAAAACTTGATTTCGTTTTAACCATTTTTGGATATAAAACAAATCTAGATGTAAAAATAAGTTACATAACTTTATCCTTAGCTGAAAGACTGATATTTTCCAGCAGTTAAATTACTATAAAGTTGTATAACTTATAATGTGTACAATTTTATGCATGAATTACCTCAATTGAAATTACTTTAAAAACAAAAGATTATTACCTGCTGCACTATTCTTTGTTCCAACACATCAGCTGTTACCTGTATGTGAATTGTTCCTGCCACAATACTGGCAGAATGACGCCAAAAATGAGGGTCTCGGTATGATATTAATCCTTCGATTTTCTGTATCTGTCAAATAAAAGGAGAGGTGATATAAATGGGCTTAAAGGCAATAATTTACTTAAGATAAAGCAATCTTTTTGGTCTAGGAACCACTATTAAGCTGGTTATTAAAAAAAAAAAAAGATAATGAGAGCCCAAAAGTGAGAAAGAATAGGAGAGGGTCAAATAGATTGAGGTAAAAGTGCCTAAAATATTTGACCTAGGAGTGATGCCAAGGAAGGTAGCTCTGAATAGGAAGTGACTGGGGTATAGATGTCTTTACACCCAACAGATGCACACCAATTTTTACCTATATTAGATGTACTTTGCCTATTCTAAACAGTAGGTACATTTAATCAACTATATTGTTTCCTTTATACTGATACATTTGCAAATTGTTTGTTATACAGAGATAACACATGCAAAAGATATCCTCCAAATTCTCCAATTGAGGGCTGGTTAAATAAATAGACTGCCCATACAATGTAACACTACATTGTCATTAAAAATGTATTAGAATATTTATCAACATGACAAAAATGCGGAAACATTTAAAAAGCAGTTACAAATTTTTTCTGTCATTTTCATTTCAAAATATTTTTATATAGAAAAGCAACTTTTAAAAGTATTTTCTTTCCAGGTGGTAGAATTATATGTGATTTCCCCAGCTTCTTTGTACTTTTCTGTATTTTGGTATTTTCTGTAAGAGACATGTATTATTTTGAAATAAAAAGACTTTTATTAGTAGGATATAGTATTCAGTAATTATGAGGTGAGAGAACTATTCTAATTTTATGAAAACAGTGGGTTAAGATGCTATGCTTTAAATATTCAAGATGCTAACTTTTCATTGGCAGATCCTAATTGAATAGAAAGACAAGTTGAAATACATTCTATTTGCTTTTTCTATGAATTGCCTGTTTATATTCTCAGTCCATTTTTCTTGATTTAAAAATGGTTATGAATAGTAGGCCTTTGCCTGGTTATATGTGTTGCAAATATTTTCTCTTGGCCTGACTTGTATTTCATATTTGTTATGGAATCTTTTGCCAATGGACAATTTTCACATGGGCCAATCTGTAGATTTTTTTCCTCTCTTTTTGGGTTCTGGTTTTACTTTGAGCATATGAATAAGGCTTTTGCTACCACTGTGACTATAAAATGATTTTTCTATTTCATTTTAGCAGTTTTATAATTTGTCATTTATATGTTTAATCCACTGGAAATATATTTTTATATGGTGTGGCACACAAGCATAGCTTTTCTTTTCTACCAAGTGGAAATGTTAATTAGGTCAACCCTTTCTTCTCCAATGATCTGAAATGTCATCTTTGGTATACACTGAATTTCTTAAGGTCCTAGGTCTGTTTCTGATTTTTAAAATTAGAATCAATTTATGTGTTTATTCTTATGCAAGAACAAAACTGTTAGTTTCCTTAGTTAATTGTGTTACTTTATAATCACAAGATACGATTCTATTAATTAATTAGATAATTCTGTAAACTTGTATTTTTTTTTGTTCATTCTCAAGTATTAACTCTTCCAAATAAGATTCCAAGTAATACTGGATTAACTATTCTCCCCTAAAACAAAAACAAACAAAACAAAAAAAACCCAAATGAAAGGCAACTACATTGAGATTTAAATGAAAGAAAACAAACATCTTCACAATACAGTTTCCCATCCAAGGAAATATCTCTCTCTCTTTATTCAGTTCCTATTTTATGTCCTTTAAATAAAACTATTTTCTTCATTCATATCTTGTACATTTCTTGTTAGGTCAACTTATCAATTTCAAATGCTATTTTAAAAGAAAATAGTGAAGAAATTACACATAATACCTTTTCTAAAGCAAGATGTAGTTCTTTTTCATATTCTGGTGGCAGTCTTAGAAGTAGAACCTGACAGGCATCTTTAATCAGTGGAATAACACTGAGAAATATTAATACGGCAATAAAAAGAGAACAGACGGGATCAGCAATAAACCATCCAAACTGTTCTATAAGAACTGTGGATACGATCACACCAATACTGCCAAGTGTGTCTGCCAAAACATGCAGAAATACACCTACAAGTAAAATATATAAAAACATTAAAAATTAAAGCACATCTAATAATTTAGTTCTTTTATCCATTCTACAAATATTACTGGGTACCTACTATGCACCTGGCGCTCTGCTAGGGGCTGGTACTTCAAAATGATTAAAACATGGTTACCACCCTTATAGAATTCCCAGCATTGTGGTAAAAAGGTGAGTTTTATGATGGTGTGGTTTGTCTGGGAAGGCTTGTCAGAGAAACTGAGCCGAGTTTTAACATTACCCCAATTATTTAAACAATCAGAATAAATAATTCAATATAAGTAATAAATACTTCCCAATTTTTTTCCAGTACAATAAAAATCTCCTGGTTCTTCTGTAGTAAAAGTTCATAATGGCACACTCAATGTTCCCTGGCAAATAATATTTATGTAACTGTCACTATAAAAAGGAATCTATAATTACAATAATTAATCGACATTTGTGAACAAATGTGAGCATTTTCTACAGCATACTTCAGACCTTTTATAGCCACAGATTGTTTTTCAAAAAACTGTACCAGAAGACCAATATTTAATATAAATAGTGTCAATTCACAACACAGTTGAAAAGTAGACCAATATTTGGCAAGGACTCACCCCTCATGTTAGCATTCATGCCTCTGTGTGCAGATCCGTGGCTGTGACTGTGCCCATGGTCACTGTGTCCATGTACATGGTGTGAATGGCTGTGATCAGATGAGTGACAGCTTCCTTGAGAAGCTCCATGGGTATGGTTATGGGCATGGCTAAAGGCACAGATACCAATAAGGTTTACTATCAGCCCTCCAACTGAGACTGGCTAGCAAGAGAGAGAAAAGAAAATCTTTAAATTTATAATTTAAAAAATAAATTTGTTATTTAAAAGTTAGTATATAGTTATATATATATTTTTTCTGTTTATAGTCTTGAAAGTATTCATAGTAAAACCTCATTAAGTTTATTAAGTAAATCCAAAATTTACAAAAAGTGAATCTTAGAATATTTTTTAAAATACCAAACAAAATTTTGACAAGTAGAGAGATTTGGAATTGCTTTAAGGGATTAAAAAACATATAATTGGTTCATGGCTTATGAATAAATAAATGATGCTTTTGTTTATTTAAATAAAGTATGAAAGTATTGCAAATATACACTATACCTGAAATCTTGTTTATATTACTAGGTAAATTTCAATAGTTTGTTAAGGTAATGATTATAATTTACTAACTAGTGGATTCCAAATAAATATAGTCTTACTGTGTCTTATAGTAAAATTTTCCAAAGTAAAAAAGGTACAATGGAAAGTAAACATATAAAAGCAATCTCTCATTTTTTTTAAACAAATGGAATTATCTTGATTTTATGGTGCCACAATAACACCTCAAAGGATAAACAAAGTTACTTACCCTTGATTATCCTCTTACAAAATGATTTTGAATAATAGCTTGAGGTGTTATTTAATTTACATGTGTCTACAATTTCTCCTTTAGAGAAATCCATTTGTTTTATTAAAGAAACATAAAAATAAGGGGGACTGATAATTTTTATTAATTTTCAAAGGTAGTAAGAGGAGGGATTTAATTCTGTAAACATGTATGGAGCTTATTTACTTCTTCCTGTGACTCTCGTGTTAGATTTTAAATTTTCAGTTAGCTTTATGAGCTTGAAGATGGTTAATGAATTTTGAATGAAACCAAATACTGCTTATAGAGACCTCTTTGCCTCATAAATTCTTCTTCTCTACTGAGAAATACTTCATATTTATGTATTTCATCATACAAATGTAGAAAATGAAAGCCCCCTAAAATTCTACTCCCAGTAGCCACTCCTAAGAGGACTGTGTATTTTCTATGCACATACTTATATAAATACATATATATCATTTAAAATCAATAACAGGTTCATATTATAATACTGCTTTGTAATTTTTTTCACTTATTTAGTACATCTTGTAAATATTCTTCACACCAGTATATAAACTTTATTCTTTTTGATAGCTGCATGGTATTCTGTGAGTGACAGATTTACTTAACTAGTCATTTTATTGGTAGATATTGTTTTTTTTTTCCCATCATTGTCTCTAATGATACAATCAATCATGTACCTCTACATACTTGTGTGAATATTTCTGTAATAAATATTAAAGGCCAAAGGACATGAGCATTTAAAATTCAAAATGTATTTCCAAACTGTAATCCAAAAACATTTTACTTATACTTACACCAACAAGGCTTATAACTGCTTTTTAGTCATTAAATTAATTGCTGAGTTCCTAGTACAAGCCAGGTGCTAGAAGTTAAGCTTTAATGATACACAATTCAGGTCCTGAAGACACTTCACTTATATCTTAATTATGGAAGAATGACAAATTATAACTCAAAATTGCTAAAAGAAGAATGCACAAAACACAATGGGAATACTAAGAAAGGGAAATCTAACAAACTTTGAGGAAGAGAGGGATTAAGAAAAGTAAGCCACCAGAGGAGACATATAAGCAAAGTCTTGAGGAAGGCTGAAGGTCAGAAGTAAGGGAAGGGCAGGCCAACTACAAGAAATAGCACATGTAAAGGTCTGGAGGCATAGATAAACATTAAAAGTTGCTATGGCAGTAATATAATCTATGGAGTAAAGCCTCACAAATTATGTTTTTCTGATTCTATCTCTAACAAATTTCCTCAGGTATTTAAAAATGCATCTCCAAACGAAAACATTTAATAAGTCAGAAAGAAATCTGTATGTTTTAGAATGTCGTCTAACATTCTGACTACTAAAATATTAGAGAAAAAGATTAATTTCTAAAAATCAGCAGTGTAAACAGTAAGATAGGAATTCATGTTAATTTAAATAAAAGATAAAATATGAGAAACTTAGATAAATAAAAAAACTTACTGTTAACATGTATGTGTCTAATTCCGGAGGATCAATTAATCTAGCCACTGACTCCACAAACACAAAAAAAGCTATTACCATTAGAAAAAGTCCATTAATAAATCCAGAGAGAATTTCTATTCGGCCATACCTAAAAATGTAGGACATATTTTTAGAAAAGGAAAATGACAATGATTTTAAAAGTATAAACATTATTTATAAATGAGAAAACAAGTCCAAATTTTCAACTGCCCAAATAGTAAGATTAGAAAATTACCAAGATTTTAAACATACTAGTAGGTTGGAAGGTACTTTCTGGACATATGTCTGTTCAAATTTTATATATTTATTAATAAATAAATGTACCTTCTTATGCAAAATCTTTCCTAATTTCTTAGCAAGAAGTTATTTCTCCTTTAAGCCCTTGATGTGCTCTGTATTTCTGTCACAGCACACAAATTCTGCTTTGTACCAAAATCATTTGTATCTTTGGCTCACTTATCTTTAACAATATAAATAGTTCAAAATAAGAGCTGAATTTATTAATCTATTTAGAGTAGGTCTTAACAAAATACCTTGTACAAATCAGGGATTCTAATATTGTTGAACTGAATTATTCACTTAATGAAAAGATATTTCAGTCTACACCCATGCCACCCTGAACAAGCCCAATCCCGTCTGATCTTGGAAGCTAAGCAACGTCAGGCCTGGTTAGTACTTGGATAGGAGACCACCTAGGAAGATCAGGTGCTGTAGGCATTAAAAAAATAATAATAATAATAAGGGATTGTAAGATGGCAAGGTCCTTGCAATCTGTGAGGTCAACCAAGGGTTGCCTTGCCTAAAAAAAAAAATATTTCATGCACAGCTCTTTCAAATTTTGAATACTCTTAACAGCAAAGATTTGAACGACCATGTACATTTCAATGCCTCAAAAACACGTTGAGCAAGGAGCTCAATGTTTAACTGATTTTTGCTCCCTGCCTACAAGAGGGATTTGTCAGCGAGTATAATCTTGAGCTTACTGCCACTGTATTTATCAAATGCTTGGTTCATTTCCCCTTATCTATTTCAAATTAAAGGAAGTAAAACTCTGAAAAATTATTTGTATTAAGAATAGTAAAATTTTATTCCCTAAGATGGAATTTGCAGTTAAGATTTTTCATTATGCTACATTACATCGAACAGTGTACTTACCCATAGGAGAAAATCCGAGTTGCTTTCCATCTACTCATGAGGGCCGCAAAAAGTCCCATGACCAAAGCAGAGCAGTCAAAGAGCATGTGAAATCCATCTGAGATCAGACCCAGACTATTGGTCAACACGCCATAGAATAATTCCACAAAGGTAAAAAGCTAAAATATGTTTAAAAAAAATAGGGGAGGAGTATATTGGGAAAAACTGTTTCAAGAGAGATTTATGAGAATTTAATCACGAGGATTTTAACCCTTAATTATACCCAATCCTTACTTGAAAATATAACTGCCTCTTTAGTTAACTGGCACTTCTACTAAAAACTTCATTTCACAAAAATTGTAAGAAACTAGGATAAATTAGATATGTCCATCTCATAAATTATTTAAAAGGAGATAGTTTTATTTATATGTCTGTAGAACTCAATAAACTAAGCTATAAAATGTTAGCAATCTGGTCTGTAGTGAGATCCTACAAGTAGATAAAATCTTTAGAAGCTACTATGGTTACTGATTTGAAATAGCACACTAAACCAATATTTCTAAAATGCCTCAAAAATTGTTTGCTTAAGTAGTCTAAACATTTATTATCCTGTAATCTTTCTACTTAGAGAAAATGTAATTTTAGCTCATCTCCAATTATAAGAAATTTAGAAATTACTAAAATTATACCAGAATTGTCAGAATTAAGAGATTAAGCTTTTTAAGATATGCCACTAATATTTAAAAATCTTACCAGATTCAAGCACAAGAAGTAAAAGATCTGCCTAGAGTCATTTTCCTCAAGAATTTGTTTTAGTGATTCCTTAATAAATCTAGGAATTGATTGGGAGCTATGTTGAAAAGCATCACCCATGAAGTTATAAAGAGGTGTTCCTTCAGGAGAATATCCAATCAGGGTACCTTTCTGTCCTCTCTTAGAAGGAGATGATAAAATGTTAGCAGCTAAAAACAGAAAAAAAAAGGAATATTACAAAAGTTTAAAAATTAAGCTACCCCCAAACCAACACAGTATCTACTAGCACAAAATGCAAGCACTGAACAACTTTCCAAATATAAATAAATGATGTGAACATCAGAAACCATAAGAAGAAATTTGCTAAGGAGAAAAACACTTACACAAAATGAAGAATATAGCGCTCACTACCACTCCTCCAGATAGGACGTGCTCAGTGCTCTCCTGGTGTACTGCTTTGTTCATAGCCCGAAGCTGGTCTGTTATTGGATGCGTCCAAAAATTTCCAAAAAGTAGAGCACTAATAAAAATGGGGAAGGACCCATAGCGGGCACATTTGGAAACTTCCATTTTGACTAAACAAATGGAATCAACATAGAAATCCAGGATCATGACAAAAAAGATAACCGTTGTGAAAGGCATAACGAGAGAAAACCAGGACTCAACTTTACTCTAGAAATTAAAAAAAAAAATTTGTCAATACTATGTGAGTATAAAGTTCACATCTTGTAAGATGTTTTAGTTAATCTCTTTATGTATAAACAAATATTCTCATGATTCAGTATGATTTTAAAATGCCAAAATATAAGAACTATAAGATATTGGCACATTTCCCCAGTATTCCCCTAAGTATTAAAAACAAAAGCATTATTGTTTAATAATTTTATAAATACTAGGTGACCCATAATCCTTGTGCTTAGCGCATGGTAGGTATTATTTCAACTGATTCCTTTGAGTCACAGGCATGGTAGGAATATATAAATGTAATGGTATTTAATTCAATTTTTCTATGAACAATAAAATTTACTCCAAAAATTTTTCAACAGAAGGAAATCTAACTATGGGTGGTGAACACACAATGAAATATACACACACACACACACACACACACACACACACACACACACGTGTGTGCGTATGTGTGTGTGTTGTGTATATATTTGCCTTACTGTTAAATTGTACTCCTGAAACTTACTAGATTTGTTAACCAATGTCATCATAATAAAAATTAAAAATAATAAGTAAAATGGTTAACCTTAAAAATTTTTTTCAAAAACTACAAAGAAAAAGCAAAGATAATTTAAGCCACTTGCAATCTCTAACTGAAATAAAATACAATGTACTGAACTAACATTTATAAGTAACAGCAATTCATTTTACTTATTACTAATGAATTCCTGGTCTTACCTCAGTTGTCACAGAAAGAACAATGACCCATGGGGACAAGAGAAGCACAGAAACAAGGTGGGATAAAGCCTGAAGACGTTTGCCTCCACCAACATCTATAGCAAGCTTTCTGGAAGCTGTATGAAAACCAACTTTACAACACAAAGCCAGTACTAGCAACAATACTCCACCCTACAAATAAAATTAAATAAATCTCATTAGAAATACATGCAGTCCCCAATAGTCAATCCTTAAATACATATTAGAAGAAATGGAACTATATCCCAAATTCCTAAACTACTTAAATGGCAGGCAGCATTGAAATTACTGATAACTTTTTAAAAACACACTTTTAAAGTTCCAGTTGCTGTAACTTCTCAGAATCTTTTGGTCACATGAGCAAAAGAGAAAAGAACATACCTTATGATCTGCCACACCTAAGAAGGCAATGGCTGTGTAAAGCATGTGAGTTAGAGCACTGTCATGATGTCCTTCAGCTAAGTGAATTGGAGTAAAGGAAAAAATTCCAAATACTTACTTGTTGAACGTTTAAGTCTTCCTTAATTTTAGCTACATTATTTTAAGTTGACTACAGACTAGTCTGGGGCCCCAAACCTGACTACTTTCAATAGTCTCCCTTAAAACAAAACAATTTAAAATTTAATTTGGGGGCATGATCAATAAATTGGATGGTCTTATATTCCTTTTGTTGTTTCTAAAACAATTATAATGGTTCCTAAGATATAGTCGTTAAATTTTAGTACTTAACCCCCAAAAGACATATAAGTACACACACAAGTAGAAGGAAGGGACAAGAGCAAGGAATCTCCTTGGACCACTCCTATCCAATGAAATAAAGTTTGCTCTTTTAGAATGACATGTAAAATCAGTCTTAAATCTGTTTCTAAGTCACAGACCACATAACCCTCAGCAAAGGAAGTAGAAAGCAAATGAGAGTGATGGGGCATAGCTGTATCACAAGCAACCTGGATGGAGTTCTGCAAAGTCACGGCACCCTCTTTCATTGTAACAAAGTAAACTGATATTAGCTAACCAAGTTTTAGGTCAGTGAGTATCTATAACCAGAAGAATCAAAACTTGTGTTCTGATTTCTGCTAAATGGAGAGGGCAAAGGTGTATGGATAGGAAAGAACAAGGTATGTCTGTAGGAGAAAATAAGTAGACATATTTGACTGCAAAGTCAGGTTTGCATAAGAGAAGAGTGGGGCTGAGTTGGAAATAATAATTTAGAGCAAGAGAGTGAATACCAAATTAAGGAATTTAAACTTTTCTTTTCAGGCTTGAAGATGTCAAATGTTCATTTAATCTAAAAAATGTTTATATTTAGTAATTGTTACTGACTTCTAAAATGAGCGTTTAAACTGTTAAATTACAAGGGAGCAAATAGACTGATTTTCTTGAGTAGCAAATCCTTTTTTTTTGGTATGAGGACAATCTAAAATACTTTCATTGTCCCTAAATTTCTGATAGTTTAATTCAGTCACTCTATTTCCCATTGTGCCAGTCTTCTATTTTTCTGCAAGACTTCATAACTCTGATCTATTGCAAAAGGATACGGTGTTCAGCCATTTTAGCCATGAGATCATCATTGTCAAAAAGCAATAGGCAGATCACAGCGATAATGAAAAAAGCAGCCCCCCTTGTCTGAAAATGAAGAGAATAATCTAAGGATGGCTTTTTCAAGAGTTCATTTTTAAGACCAATGACTATACAAATGCTAAAGAAAAATTTTTTCAAGTAAATATTTAAATTAAAAAACATCTGACATTACAGCCCTTATACTATTCAATATAAATTTATAGTGTTAACAGTAAGATAAAAATAAAGAGCTTCAACAAATTCTGCAGGATATTTTAAGGGCATTTAAGACACATAATGACAACTTCAATTGTCTACTTGCTAATATGGCTAGCTATGTTACCATGCACAAACTTAATGTATATAGAAATTATCTTTGCAAATGTTACATTGCTTCTGGTTGAAAAGCCTAAGTAGCTAAAGAATAATTAGCAAGGACTTATCTTATTCTACAACATATCAATGTTCTAGTTACCGCTCTTTTAGGGAACTAGAACTAAGAGGGCACATTAAGAAAATTAGCAAAGTCATTTCTAATATCTAGTAAAAGTGTAAGGCACTTAAAAGCTGATAAACTTTTTATGTTCTCATTCCAGAGAAAGGATTTTGACACAAGAAAATTATGAAAAGGACATAATAGCCTAGTTTATGCAAATATTCCAGAATTTGGGGTACAGAAGCAACCTAAATAGCATTATTATACACTCTATGTTTACAGATGTACAGGTATAATACCAGATACTTCCATTAAATAAAAATTTAAAATGAAAAGTGACAATCCTATTCTATTCATTATGTGATTACCACTACACTTGTGTTAGTGTGGTAGATAGTTGGCAAGTCACTATACATAAACTACATAATTTAAAATTGCATAATTTTCATTGAATCAGGATATGGCAACATCGAGAACACTCAGATATGGAGAAATTTAATCTTTTGTTAACAAAGAGGGCAACTGAGAATTTTATAGTGTTTCACTCAGAACTCAGAAAAAAATCACTGAGTCCTGGATCATTGCCGAGATTCAGTATTGACACCAATGAGAAGATATGCAAGATCGTACTTATTTGATTATTGGTGCTGCAAAAATTATTTTTTTTTTAATGTTTTGAAGTCATTTGTATTTATTTTGTGAGTTGTCTTTCTCTGTCCTTTGTTCATTTCTGTTGAGGATCTTAAGCATTTTTCTAATTGATTTATATTTCAGAGAAATGTAAAGTTTTTATTTGTAGCAATGTTGTTTAGTTTGTTATTTGCACAATGATTTCTGTTATATAGAAGCTTTATGAAATCAAATGTATTAAATTCTCCTTTTGTGATTTTTTATTTAAGAAAATTTTTCAATTACAGTTGACAAAATCTATTAGTTTTTAGGTATACAATATAGTGATTAGACATTTATATACCTTACAAAATGACTGTGATTTTTTTCCCACTGCTTTTATGCTCAGAAAATTCTTCTTTGCCCATAGATTAATTATCCATCTATATTTTACTCTATGTGTTTACAAATATCTTCCACCAAACTCTTCAGTCCACTTGACATTTTGCAGTACTCTTATGAGTGACAGGGAAAAGCTTAAACAGTGGCATATACTTCAGTACTAACGATCCAATGTGAAACCTACAGGCTAAGTAGTCTCTCATTCTGCTCTATTTGGCACATTATTTTGTTCATTTTATTTTATTCATCTGCCTCCATTACCTAGCCTGAAGCCCCTTTCAGAACAGGGACAATTATAGTTTGTCTTTATTTCTCCGTTCCCCTATAACTAGATGTACCACGCACAGGAAACATTTTAGTAAATAAAAATATTGTTAGAATTTGGAATTACAGATGGATGACTCGATTACTATAAAGGAATAATACTAAATTATTTAAGATGAATAGGATTGCCTAGTTGGCAAAATGTTGTATAAATGTTCATTTAAAAAATGTTCATCAGACTTTAAATATAACAAGTTCTTAGGTATTTTCCAAAAATGATATACAGGGATTAAAAATGAGGTGGGGAAGGGTTCGGGTACAGCATGAAGGAGATGTTTGTGGTGATCAGTAGGTTCTGTGCCTTGACTGTGGTGGTGGTTACATGAATCTACAACACACAGACACAAACGCACACACACGAATGTATTTAAAACTGGTGAAATCTGAATAAGGTCTATGGATTGTACCAATGTTAATTTCCTGGTTCTGACAGTAGAAATGAGTTCAGTAAGAAGTTACTACTGAATCTGAGTAAAAGGCACAAGGACCTTTCTATTATTTGTGGCAACTTCCTAGGAATATATAATGATGTCAAAATAAAAAGTAAAAAACAAAGTTTGTAAGAAAAAATTTAAATTAGTAGAAAAAGCCTCTGCATTCTTTTGGATGGTAAAAGATACTATATTCTTGCTTTGGAGAACATTTCACATGTATGCTTTCAATTTTCAAGTAGCTAATAATGGAAAATTCTACCTTTGCTGGTCCTCCTCCAGAACTAGTGAACAAAACACTGAGTAGTGAGATGACAACAATATCACTGTGTTCAAATAGCAGCAAAGTCCTACGAAAATAAAACATTATAATTCATGAAATATATCTGATCTTTATCAAAAAGCATGAATTCGACTAGAGTAAAAGACAATAAATATTTCCCCTTGATTTGTACACTTTACAAATGCTAGACTAAATATTTATGTGCCCTCCCCATCCCCCACTAATTCATATGTTGAACTCATTCCCCAGTGTGAGGGTATCTGGAGGTAGGGCCTTAGGGAGGTGCTTAGGTCATAAGGTTGGAGCCCTTATGAATGGGATTAGTATTCTTATAGAAGAGACCACAGAGCACTCCCTTGCCCCTTCTGTCATGTGAGGTTACAGTAAAAAGACAGTTGTCTATGAACCAGGAAGCAGTCCCTCATTAATCTGCTTCACCTTTCTCTTGAACTTTTCAGCCTCCAAAACTATGAGAAATAAGTTTGTGTTGTTTATAAGATACTCAATCTATGGTATTTTGTTACAGCAGCCCAAATGGACTAAGACAAAAAGGGTGAATTTTATAATTTTATGATGTGAATTATATTTCAGAAAACTGACATAAAAATGAATGAATCACACAAACACACACACTACATACTACATGCATCAATATGGGAAAATCTCAAGCATAACACTGAATGGAAGTATCCTGTAGAAAAATACATGCAATGTAATTCTAAAAAACCTATAAAGTTAAACATTAAAAAAAGAAATGTTTATATATGGTAAAATTATAAAGAAAACCAAGGGACTAAAACACTTAAGATGCTGCTTACATCCAATGGGAGGGGAGAGGGGGACATATCAGGAGGGCTTCAAAGACACTGACTGGTAAGGTTTTATTTTGGGGGCTGGATGTTGGATACATGAATGTTCATTTTATGATTTAAATGTATTTACTTATATTTACTCTTTCATATGTATAAAACATTAAAAAAATTTTTTAGAACATCACCAGCCAAAGGGAGCTTATAGGATCTCAATAAATAGATTTTCAGCTGCTCATTAAAATTTTTCATTTTTTCCTCTTTACCCAAAAATCTATAATGAGAACACAGCAGTAATAATTTTAGTTCTAGTAATATTGGGAGATTACAATTTAAGAAAACAAATGAATCAGTAGAATACTACTAACCTAAAATAAAAGACAGGTTATGAAACACCAACGGAGTCTTTCTAATCAAGAAATTGTGTTATGGCTTTAGTAAGAGAATGAGAGGGGCAATGTTGGCAGAGGAGCTAGTATTGTGAGGGGTTTTAAGGACAGAAAGTAAATAAGGAGCCAAGTAAGAATTTAAGAATGATTCCCCTTCCTTCCGTATCCTAACACAGAAGGACAGGGATTTAGCAATGTAAGGACCAAAACATAATGTCATGAATAAGAATTTTAAAATGAGAAGATAAGCAACACCACCAATCATATTCAAGCATAAACTGAAAAGCTCTCCCCAAGGTGAGATATTTCAGCCGGCTTTCCCACCACTCCAGGATGCTCCTGCTGTCATGGACAGGGATGTGACATTTGGAATCATGCATATTCTTCATGTGACGAAGTACAGGGTAAATAAGCCAAAGGGACCCAAACCTAGAAGTTGTCTCACAAAGCATTTCCCACTTATCACTTTCTACTCTGTCCACGCCACTATTCTGAGTGAGATTCTTTAGAACATCCTTCATCTTACTCTTTACTTCTTGTCCTCATATTCCCCCCTCATCAATGGCAAGATACTTTTTCTTTTATTTTTACTCAATAAGTAAAGCCCTTTAAATATGGAGAACTATTAAAAGAATGCTAATATAGTTACAAATGTTAGAATTCCTAGTAAATTAAGTGACCCTTAAGCATTTCCTTCTCTGAACTGGTCCATTTGCATACAAAGATTATACAGGTCTAGGGAATATCAAATTTGTTATTCACCTTTAATTTGATGATTGACACACTAGTCCTAAGACATTTTGTTTACAATCATCTTTCAAGATTCTGTAGGTGCTAAAGTACTTTCAGAGTTGTATTTAAATAACGTGTCGGGGGAGGGGTTAAAGATTTGTTCTCTTCCATATTGGTTTTTATCTACTACTTCAGGCCCTTCTAGTTTTTTAAAATCAGCTGCTAAAAGGGATCACCAATAAATGATTTAAAAAAGCCATTTATGCTAAAAATATTCTGAAACTTTGGACTCTAAGTAGTAAAATTATTTACGACAGGTCATAAACAAAATGTTTATGGTGTTTACCAAAGAACTAGTCCATAAACTAAACAGGTACTCAATATATTTATATATATTTGTTGAGTTATACCCGATGCTATAGAAACATTTGTACATAACTTGACACAAGTATCTGACATAAAATATAATGGAATAAACTAATATTAAAAATGAAGAAATATAAATAAACATTTAAAATATGCAGTTTTAATTACCTTAGTGGTCCGCAAAGCGTAAGGCCAAAAAACCACAAGAGTGAAATGATACATCCAGCAACTGCATGTTTACATATTTTGATCCACTATAAATGGAAACAAAATATTAACAATTTTAGTCATATGCTTTGCTAAATATCTGAAAATCTTAATACACATAGAGAAAGATAATAATGGTAACAGCTATTTTAAAGGCTTAATAATTACATATTTTGAAATAGAAAATGTTAAGATCCCTTGACTAAATGTGAATCTGCAAGACAGTATTGTTTTCCATTTTCTATATTCTTGTCTGTTACATCTTGAAATCTTTTCCAATAAAGTATAACTTTTTAATTCTTTTTAAATTAATTTCTCACCAGTTTGCTAGAAACACTTAATATTTTAGTCTTTAAATTCTTTTCCACCAAGACTATTCAATGTTTCAATTATTTTAAAAGAGATGAAAAAGGTCATGATGGGGTTTAAAATAGTAACCCTATTTTAAAAAATGTTCTTGGTCTCTAAAACAGAAGTACTAAAATTTGTCATTCTAATATAAAACATGGCATAGGGTTCCGAGTTGTGGCATAAAGCAAACATAGTAGGGTATAACTATTGTCCAAACAGGTGATGTGAGATGATTATAAAGAACACAGGACATTTCTGGTATGCATCTTAAACCTCAGATGCCTAAAGAGAATAATGATAATGATGATGAGGGTGACAGCTATGTGTATTGCACACTCACTATATGTCAGGCACTATTTTAAGAACTTTATATGTATTAATTCATTTATTCTTCGCAGCTTCCTTTAAAAGGTAATATCTCCATTTCACAGGTGAGAAAATTAAGGTAGAGAAATTAAGTAACTTATTCAAAGTGAGATTTAGTAAGTAGGACATACAGACTATGAATTTGTCTGACTCCACAGGCCTCATTCATAACCCCTATGCTTTATCCACATCCCACATTTGTACTAGGCTCTTGTGCATAGCTCCATGTCTGATTTGTAAATCTTTCAGAATAAAGAACCTGTATTAGAGAAAATAATCGCATGCATGCCTTAAAATTTTTCTATCCTCTTCTGCATTTTTAAATATTCCATTATCTTAGCACTTTATAGTTCACTCTTGAAGCCCCAATTCTGAATAGACTAGTTAACTCTGGAAATGCTATGCTTTGCACTTAAATCATTCATTAAGCAACCCTGATGAAAGAGAGAGCATTGTCTCTTGGTCTGCTGGAAGGGAAGCTGCTAGGAAAAAAGGATTCTGCAAAAAACTCACCTGGCGTTTGGTAATACTTTTTCCAGAAGAAAATGGCTTTTGAAACAAAACCATAAAAAATGCAGTCCTGTGAATATTGAAACATTAACATATTAATCTTATGTACAAGGTGTGGTTTTAAGCAAAGACACTTACTTTAAACAAATATACTAGAACCTGAAAGGTATTTATCCTCTAAAGAAATTATACTGGAGAACAATACTTATTTTAATAAGGCTTCCATTCCAACATTTTGGGAACTTTTCTTTTGTAATTGCCTTCTGAACTAGGTCACAAGCCAGAAAAAGAGTCTCAATATTTTTTCATACTTTGAAATACCAAAAAATATAATTCCAATCACCTCCAAAATTCAGTATAACAAATCTTAAAATAACAGAAATGAAGTACTAATTATTTGTCCCTACCTTTCACACTCCCAAAATAGTTATATAAAAATGCATACAAATGGGCTTAAAATTTCCTTGTCAAGAATCACTTTCCGTAATTACTAAAATTATACTCTCAGGAGTCTTTAGCAGATTTTTATTAACACAAAAGGTGGTCACTATCAAATGCAAGGTTCAGAGAATCTTTATTTAGAGAGAATTTATTATATACAGAATAATGTAAAATTTATATTATATGAGGGTCCTGTAGTGTGACGTGATCATGTAGTGAACACAGCCTAGCATGGTTTAACTTAGAAAACAAGGAATGTCTGTGCCAAGACAAGTTTCAGGTAACATTCTGTCTCCTGAGAGGTTGGATTAAATTAGGAGTATGGTTTGTGAATCTCTAAGACCTCTGAGGCCCTTTTAGGGAGTCTGTGAGGTCAAAGCTATTTTTATAAAATATACTAAGACATTATTGACCCTTTTCATTCTTATTCTCTTAGGGGCATACAATAGAGCTGTTCAGAGGCTAGCTGATGTGAGATACTGCAAGAGATTGAATGCTGAAGCAGATTTGAAAATTCAGCTGTCTTCTACTAAGCCAGAAATTTGCAAAAACCTCACTAATGCAAACTAAGGTAAAAGTCTACGCTTTGGCAAGCTATTAGAGTACAACAATCCTTTTTTCTTAATCAATTTCTTTATATAGCTAACCTCAGGTATTCTATTAAAAAAATCTTTAACAACTACTCATCAGGAAGAATGCACAAAATATTCTATGCAAAATTTCCTAAAGATACTCAGATAAAACAGGATTCTCCAAGAAATAAAAACATTAAGGGGAAAAAAGAAGCATAAACACTCACCCAAGTTTTAATATAAAAATGAACTGAACAATGTGAACTGCTTTTAGGAGATCGTATGATTCGAAAAGTCCCACAGCCTTCAAAAACTTAGTGAAACATAGTAACACAATATATTTTGTTAATCTGAAAAAATAAAAGCAGAAACAAGTTTCATTACCATTGAAATCACAAGGAGCTCTGTAATTTTTGTTTTCTCCTTATTATACAGGTAACAGGAATCATTATAAAAACCACAAATATACATAAACAAAAAATGAAAATGAAACAAAAATCCAAATATGGAACCCAAATATGAAGCCCAGAAGTTGGAGCCCACAGAATCAAGCCCATGTCGTTTAAGTATGCTCTTTTTAACATGTTACACAGAAAATCAAAGTTCATCCAAAAGACTTTAAAGGTTCCCATCTTCTAAACTGTTTACAATTATACATTCACACTGGCTCACATGAATAATAAAATCATCTTTAAATATGAAAGACAAAATGCATATTAAAATCTAAGAATTAATTTAGATTTTGGCCCATTTAGCTAGAGAAAAAAGTTGTATAGACTTAAGTAAATGAACTATATTAATGCTAATTAAACACTCTGGTCATGGTAGCAATTCACATTTAGCTAATAAAAATAATAGTTGAGTGAAATCCTTTGTTTATTCAGCTCCTAACACAAGGACTTGCATAATATGTGTTCAGCAAATGTTTACCAAATGAAAGAATGCTAACTCTACAATTATACTTGTGTGATACAGTAATATTTAGTACCATAACATATATAACGCAGTAATTTGGTACATAAGAGGCAGTCAAGCTTCTGGCAACTTAAACTATCAGCAACTCAGCCATGAATTCAAAATGAAAGAAAAGAATAAAATGAAGCTCAAAACCTTTGTAAGCTCTTAACTAAGTGTAAATATAAGGCAGCGGGACAGAAATAAGGACAACACTCAACAAGGCAGGGAGGGAACAAGATCAGTAAAAATAGAGGTACATTAGAAATCACAGCAGTCTGGGAATTCTCAAAGTCAGCAAAAGAGCCTTGTACATCCCTCATGAGGCTATTTAGCTATTCTTCAAATATTCCTTGCAGAATTTACTATATGCTATATGCTATATGTGGCCAATGAGAGCTAAGGGAAGCCTGACAGGGTGGCTTCAGGTACAGCTTTCCATCTTCCTGATAAAAAGATGTAGCTAGAACTAGTATTTCACCTTCTTTCTCCCTTCAAGGGAAGACTTTTATCTAAAACTTATCTAAAAAATGTTATTCATTTTAGGACAAGCATGAATACGAAAGCTACACTTAGGATGGCATTGAACGGAAGACAAAGAATCTGGTCCCAGATGGTATCACGGAGGGGCTGAACAAATACTAGCAACCTCTGGTTTCTCTGAGGTCAGAATATATCCCTATTTGTTTAAAGTTTTCGTAGTTGGTTACTTAGCATTTCTAAGTGCTATCCAAGACGCTAAATGCATAATAGAGATCCTGCCTTCAAGGAGTTGAGGTCTAAGACAAACAGGCAGGAAAACAAGAATTTTTGTTAGCCAAACGTAAGTAAAAGAGTTCAAAAGGATTAACTGTGGAAACAACTATGTAACTGTTAACCAGGGAAGCAAAGGTGGTCTTCTGAGCTTGAGAGTGTAAGTGTGTGTTAAGGACTAAGTAGGAATTATGAAGCAAGGAAAAAGAAAGGGTATTTCAAAGGGTATTGTGCATATGCAAAACGCTAGCACAGGAAGGAGCCTTTGAAGAAATGGCTGTATTTAAACTCAGTTCAGCAGATTATGCTCAAAATGACCAAAAGTCACCAAGGAAAAGGGAAATTATATTGAATATACTTGTTTTAAGAAGATGGGAGCCATATGTACAATTATTTCTAAATAAATTTTGTTTCAAATATTAACAAAACTCAAAAAATTTAGCTCTTTAATGGCAAGATTTAGTCATATGGAACATTAAAATACTTCTTGATATGTTACTATTATGATCTGACACTAATTTACTTGTTCCCTTTTTAATTAAAAAACAAAAAACAAAAAAACCCCAGTGATTACAAAAGAAATTCTCGAGTAGCTAGTTGTATAAAAATTTTAAATAAAATCATTCCCAATTTCTTCCTCATAGGTGACCAACTGGGTACGTATGTCCTTCCAAACCTTTTCTTTTGTGTTTCCATGTATGGACATAATATTTAGGTACATTCTAATAATGCTATGTGACTTTTAATGTAATATATATTGAAGATCTTTTGTTACCTTATTAAATCAGAAATTTTCTAACTTCGAAAGTTGAATACTTTGATTTTTAAAATCTCTATGAAGTTTTCCTGTTGGGCTAATGGTGACACACTAAGGCCAAGTAGCTACACATGAGTAAGGAGACATTCCTAGTTCATACTGCAGCGGGAAACAATAAAGTTTCATTTACTAAGGGGGAAAGTTGGGAGTAGAGGAAAGAGTCTCTTGAACAAGGGCAGTGGCCCTTAAGCCACTCACTGATTCTCTGGGCAACTGAGGGGGAGACAATCCACCTCCTCAACTTATAAGTCATTATTTGCCATGAACTAGTCTCATCAAAGTTATCACTGGTCTTCTGTGCAAAGGGTTTAGAACAATCTCTGGTTCTATAAACCTGGATTACTGAAATTTGGGTTTGGGCTCAAATCTGCTTCTTGGGCTTTGCCCACTGCAGCAGCTCAGTTTCCTAGTTAAAAAAAAAAAAAAAAAAAAAACCATGTGTGGAATGCAAAAACATTACTCAGAA